GCAGCAATTGCCTACAAACATCTGAAAGGATAAGATTCACATTGAAACTTTCATTATAAAAAATAACTTTGTTTCTGGCTTTTCAAATGAACCAGAACAGATAGGCTGTGTTTTGGAGTAGAAAAGCTGAGATTTATTTTGAAACTTTGCAGGATTGGATCCATCCAACAAACTAGTCAGTGAAGGTTATACTTGGAAGATAAACCTCCATTCTTGCATTGAAACAACTCCCAAACCATACCTTCCTTATCTCCTCATAGGAACACAATGCATGAAAGATAGTCTCAGGTTCTTTACCACAATGCCTGCATTCTCAAAGTTGATAATTTTCTTATGGACCAGATTTGAACTAATTGGAAGAGCATTCCTACAGCATTTCCAAATGAAAGATTTTATCTTCGGTTCCACTGGTAATTTCCAAATCGCTTACTAGAGAGTACTTCTTGGCACAAGGTTATTACCATTGTTTTTTGAGACCTGATTTTGTTTTGCCAGAAAATAGGCCGACCTGACATTGAAATTACCTGTAGTGTCTGGAATCCAAGCTAAGACATCATCCCACTCACCCCTAGCTAAGGTGATCTTTTCAATTTGGTCAGCAATAATCCCATTGAAGCAACCCCAGATTACTTCAGTATTCCATCTCCTATTCTTAGAATCAATAAGTTCATTGACAAACTGAGGAGTACTTGGTCCAGGATTTGGCCCCATAACCTTAAAGCCCTCCACCCCCGGCAGCCAATTATCAGTCCAAATGGAAACATCACTACCTATGTTAACTAACCAACAAGCCCCTCTTAACACTGGTTCTCTTCTTGCCAAAATGCTCCTCCACCCCTAGGAGCCACGTGTAGGCAGCTTGTCTCTAAGAAAATTTTTATTTACGAAATATTTATTTTGAATTACTTGTGCCCACAAACTATTCTCTTTATTTGCAAGCCTCTAGGCTAACTTGGCTAAGAGAGCCACATTGAAACAATGAGGATCCCTGAAGCCAAGGCCACCATTGCCTTTGTTTTCTGTTAAGGACTCCCAAGGAAGCCAGTGAATCTTGCTTTTCTCATTTGAATGTCCCCCACTAGAAGGACCTCTGAAGTTTGTTAATTTCATTACAAATTTTCTTTGGCAGAAGAAAGCAAGGATAGTAGCAACCACTGATTTCAGGAGCACCTCCTTGCCCTCTCAGGTGATGTACTTCTCATTTTGGGCATTTGTTTTCTTTTGCACCCTCTCTACCAGATAGGAGAAAAGATTTGCTTTGGATTTGCCCATCTAGGTTGGCAAGCCCAAGTACTTCGACGGGCTCCTAACAAGCTTGATTTTAAGGCTTTTTGCTATTATCCTCGTGAATCTAGGGTGGGTTTTAAAGCTGAAAAAAACCTCAGGTTTAGCAAAACTCACCTGTTGACCCGAGGCCTTTTCATAAATTCAAATCGCTTCCACTACATGGGCTCCTTCTTGGAGGGAGGCTCCAGTAAAGATGTAGCTATCATCTACAAAGAATAGGTGAGATATAACAGGACAATGAGCATTTAACTTGATACCTGAAAATTTAGCATTTTGCACTAGGTTTGTTAGGCTAGCTGAGAACATCTCAGAGCACAGAATGAAAAGAGAGGGGGAGAGAGGGTCTCCCTGTCTTATCCCTCTCTCTGGGATGATTTTCTCAGAAGGGGAGCCATTCACAAGAATTTGGTAAGTTATTTATTGTGGTAACACATTCCATTTCCCAATGTATCCATTTTGGACCAAAACCTAAGGTTTGAAGGACCCTTTCAAGAAAGGCCATTACAGTCTATCATAAGCCTTATTCATATCAAGTTTTAAGTCTATCATCCCTCTCTGGTTCTTTGAGGTCCTCATATGATGAATGAGTTCATGAGCAATGAGGATGTTGTTAGCTATCATTTTGCCTAGAATGGAGGAACTCTGGTTTTTGCTGATAATGGTGTCTAGCATCGGCTTTAGCCTGTTCACTAGAATTTTGGAGATAATCTTGTATATAGTGTTGCACAGAATGATGGGCCTATAATGAGCAACACATTCTGGGTTCTTGTTTTTTGGGATCAGAGCTATGTAAGTTGTGTTCAATTCCCTCAGAAGGTGGCCTGAGTGAAAAAAAACTCTTAACATGACATCCTCCTTCACACTGCCCTAGTATTTTTGACAAAAGAAGTTTGAAAAGCCATCCGATCTTGGTGCCTTCCTAAGGCCCATTTGGAACAAAGCCACAGTAATCTCCTCCTCAATAATATCTCTCTCAAGCCAATCCCTAGCATCCTCTGTTAGTCTGCTATTACCAAAACTAGTTGCCATATTCAACATTTCCCCATAAGGGTTTGAGGATTTAAAGATGCTTCCAAAATGACTAACTAGAATTTTAGAGATCCTATCCTCGCCCTCGACCCAAATTCCATTGGAGTCCTATATTTTGGAAATTTGATTTTTCGCCCTTCTCTTAATAGTTTGAATGTGAAAGGATTTGGTATTTCTATCACCTAGACTAAGTCAATTAATCCTAGATTTTTTGAACCACAACATCTCTTCTCTTCTCATCCAAGAGTCAAGTTGATCCTGCGGTCTATTCACTACTTCTAATTTAAAGTCATCTCTGTTGGCATTTATTTCTTTGGCTAGGGCTTCCCTCGTTTCAGCTATCTTATCTTGGATGTTCCCAAACACTTCTCTATTCCACTCTTGAAAATTTTGTCGAAAAATTTACATTTATCCTTAAAATTATATTGATTTGAGCCTGAAAACTGAGTTTCCCACAAAACTGGGTTTCCCACATCTTTTGGATAAACGGATCACTATCACTATGGATCGTCCAGGTTTCTACGAATATGAAGGGCCTCACTTTTTTAGTAGGAGGGACTCAGTATCAGTAATAAGAGAAAAATGGTCTGACCCGAGGTAAGTAGAACCTAATTCCAACCCATTGAAACAGAAGCCTCGAATCTGAATGTTTAAACCACAGTCAAAGGCTGCTACTTTAGCTCCAATTGAATACACACGTGATGGTACATAATCATAGGTTCATAGCTGACGTGGGTTGTTATTATTGGATTGTTTGGTAGGAGTTATTATTGGTTAAATGCATCATAACACAGCCATCAAGTTAACCAATTCACCATTCGTTATTTGGGTCCCACTTTCCATATGACTGCAATTGTCTTTTTAATTATTACATGCGGTTGCTATCTTGTCATATTTCTTTGATTTAGTTCCTAGGTGTGACAAACCATAAGAGTGCATCTCGGTATCCTCTTATCATACGACACCTGGCAAGTTGTATGATTTCAAACCGCTATGGCGGCCCCAAACCCGAATCCCGACAGAGGCCCCCTTCGTGTTGTTAGATTAGAATTGGCGAGATCCATACCTTTTCCTTCTTTCATGTCTTAATATTAAAATATATTAATATATTAATATATATATATATATATATATATATATATATATAATTTTTTTCTATGAAGGTTAAAATGATAATATATTAACACCTGTTAGTCTGAGTTTTAGACATTTTGAAAAGTTGTGGTGATTTTAAGAGAATTGTTAAAAACTCGTAGTGAGTTTTAGACAATTTTCCATTTTTTATCTAAAAACTTATCTTCTATTTAGATCACTGCTGATGATCATTGCTGTCCACCTTGCCCAGCTGTTAATGGCGGTCATTAATGAGCGGCAGCTCTCTTTGATTAGGTTTTAGAGTAGAAGTAATGAGACTGGATCTGCTCCTCACAGATTACATCTCACACCAACTCACTTAGTGGTGTAAATCGGGCTGTGTGAGGCCGGTATGGCACAACTTTGCGGGTTTCCTGTGTTTTGGCGGACCATGCTGTGCTGGGCCATGTTTGTGATACTTCAGAGTCAAGCCCAACACAACACATGGCACAAGTTCAGGTGGGCCTAGGCCAGCCATGTCATGTTGTACCATAGGTTCAGCTGGGCCATAGGCCGAGCCTTAGGCCAAGCCATGAAAGGCATAATTTAAAAAAATAATAATAATAATAAAATTAAAATACTCACAAATTAAAAAAATCTCAAAATTTTATTTTATATGAATTTTGATGTATACAATTGTTTATATATGTGTTGTATCGGTCTCTACAGGCCTGAAATCGCAAGCCTGACATGACCCGCATGCTACAGTAACGGGTTGGGCTATGTCGACCCATGGGCGGCATGACCATTTATAGTTCTAACCTCATAACGAGTCCCGGTCGCACATCTAGAGCATATCACGCACTTTATGTTTATGTTCCCAAAACATGTCAACGAAACATGTTCCTTTCACACCGCACATCTCATACTGTCGTACATAACGTCTGTTAATAGAGGGTTGGAACCTGTTTTGAAGATCTCAACTCGGTTAAGAGAACTACCCCCGATTGTGTAGTCCCATCAACCCCCAAAACCAAAAAAGTCCGAGGGATCATTTGGGCCGTCAATAAATCAAGCCAGGCCACCACCACTAAGCGCCTTGATGATTTAATTGGGTCAGGGCACACAGCTCGAACGAAACTTGTACATAATAAGGCCATCATGTAGGCCATTGAAGCTGGTCCAATGACTTATGCTGCGCCTAGCTGTTATTAGTTAATTTAAAAACCTGTATTTGCTAAAACGTGATTAGATCAATTCATTTTTTTTTACGTTCTCCTAATAATCAGAAATTTATTTATATTTATCAATTGTTTTTTTTTCAGGATAAATCTCATACAAAAATGTTTCAATAAATGGCCACAATACCAAACAGCCTCCAAGGGAATGAATTCTTTGATTGCAGGAATCAATGAGAGAAGCATTTTGAGAAAAAGGCTCATTTCCTCTTTTGGATTGTGAATTGTGAAAGTTGACTTCGAAATCTATCTATGTGCATCTTTTGGATGGTTAAATATCAGCCTTTTGAAAAAAAATTGGAACTTTCCCATAAATTGCGCCTCTGTGCCTCCTATGATTTGCAATCAACCAAATACAATGCTTTACTCGGCTCCCTGGACCCTGATCCAGCCATTGTGTTAATCAACCACGAAGGGAACGGGTTTCAATATATACATTCCTTCACCAAGTAAAAAAAAAATGCGTTGTTTCCTCTCTAATAAATGTCAATACTTATAAATAGGACGGTGAAGTATGAAAATACCTTAGCACAATAATAATCAAAGGAAGAATATATCATGCCAATGAAATAGGTGTCATCTTCTTACAGTGGCAGCATAAATAGCATACCCATCCCCACTCCCCACAATTCACACCATCTGTTTCTGTGCATAAGTGCATTTTGCTTCTTCTTTTCGTCGTCATCCTAACGCTCGGCAGAGGTGCTGCCCCTGATGGCTGAACCTTGTCGGTGGCCACCCACAATAACATCTTTCAATCGAGAAATGGGGCCTAGCATTCGGTTCATCTTCTGTCCCATGATAATCACAAGAATGAAAATGAAGCAATGCTAGCATGCACTATGCAATACCATAAAGGACTGAGAATACAACCATTCATTCATTCACAATTGCTAGCTTCAGACTCATGTTATACAGCACATATAATTTGCAGACTACTAACAAACCTGGCAGAAGAAGTTTTTATTTTATTCTATTTCACCGTCACTTCGCCTTCAGTACTTTTTGAGTAGAGTGCAGAGAGGAAAATAAATGGAGAGAGAGTGGGGGGGGGGGGKGGATTAGATTTTTCACATTATGGTCTGGACATGAAGCCAAGGCAAGTGAATTAGATTTTGCCAAGTTGGCTCTTTGGTATTTTTTTGTTAATAAAACAATAAAGATTTTATTAAAATAACAAGGAAAAGATACAAGGAGAGTGACCAGAAGTCACAAGAGAAAGAAAAACAAGGCAAGAAGCAGCTCCCACAAAAAGGAACAAACCCAAGAAATCCAAAACCCAAAACACCAGGAAATGAAGAACTTGCTACAACAAACAAGCCTGCACCATGAGACAAACAACCATGCCCAAACAGAAACTAAAAAACAAAAAAAACTTACTAAGCCTCCTACTTCTTTGATGTTCTCTTGAATTTTAACATCTTGTTTGGTCCAACCCCAAGAAGACCCCCCCACCCCCCTTTCATCCTAGCAAAAGCTTTTAAGACCAAGACTGTTTCTTCCAATACCGGTTGGCTCTTAGGTATTGCGCTATTTGTATTTCCAAATTTCTTACCATCTCAGCCTCTCTTTGTTTCACTCTCCCCATTATAATAATAATAATAATTATTATTATTAGTATTGTTGTTGTTGTTGTTAATATGATTTGTGTTGGAGGGTGAACTCCATTGAGGCGGTGGTTGGTCCTCCAAAGGTTCAAGCAGACTGGTAATGGTTGGAAGGAGGGGAGAGAGAGAGGGAAGAAGAAAGAGAAAATATGAGTTGTTAACTCCCTAATGGGTCACTAGCTAAAAAAAAAAAAACTCCCTAATGGGTCAGATGGGTGTGTTGTTAGTGGGTCCCCCTATTTGGGTATGGGGCCCCTATTTATAGAGTTTGGGTCCTCCATATTCCAGAAGCTTCTTATACACTAAAACATTCTTGTATTTTATCTCCAGCACTTAACAGAACTTTTAATTAGATGATTATTTGGTCCAAAACGGTTTGGCCTGACCCGGGTTTAGGCCAGGTCAACCAGCGAACTTACGATTTGAAAATTAAAACTCTCAGGCTGGCAAATATGAGAACACAGGTTTGAGTATGAGAGTGGTCACTGTGCAAATAATGCCAAAGGTTAGGACCATATCCAGTGATCAGAGCCTGGTTTTCACTGTTGTTTTAATTGTCTAGGCCATTCAATCTGGATAGCTAAACTGGTGACCTATTACCTGGAAAGAAAGCTGGGCCAACCTCTAGTACAGTTTCTAAAACATTGGTCCAAAGTGGGCCATTTAGTAGGGGTGCAACTTGGGTGGGTTAGGTCCAGTGTTTTAAAAGCACAAGGTGCAAAAAAGGTGCAGGGGCCAATTTGTGCCCAAGGCACAAGGCGAGGCACACACCTTTTTGAAGTAAGGCGCAAATATACAAAAGTAAATGCTAAAAAACAAAAAATGTCAGAAAATTCAAAAACTTAAACATAATATTAATAAAAATATAAACTTAAAATTTAAAATAAAAAACCTATTATCTCAAATTAAAATACATAAACATAACATGTAAAGTGTATTCAAATGAAAATTTAAAAATAAAATCAAACATATAAAACGTTTTCAAGCATGTGAAACCCACAATTTCTTTTTTTCCTCAATTGTATTACTTAAAGTAGCTAATGTGATATAAAACATATTACATTCCTGATTCTACGAGCCGCCTTTGTGCCACGCCCCTCAAGGCAAGCCCAAACAAGTCCATGTTAGGGTCTTAAATTCTTAGTTCTCACACAAAAATAATGATTTTATAATTTTAAATGATTTTTAAGAAAGTATTTTATTAGGATAAACGAATGAACAACATTAGCAAATAGGGGGTTCTCAGAGAGAAAGCAAAAAAGCATAGAATTTTCAAAAGGTGCGCCTTTTGAAAGGGCTGCTACTTAGGACCTAGGCAAGGTGCATACCCTAAAATGCACCTCACCTGTGCGCCTTTTAAATCACTGGTTAGGTCGGGTTGAATGTCAACCCAGGCCCAAACCCTAAAGATGCAAACCTTGGGCTTGGACCTGGCCCAACCCAAGGTTAAGCCCAAGTTTATCAACCCAAGCTTAACCAAACACAACTTGGGTTGGGCTCAGGCTCAGGCTGGGCCGGGTTAGGTTAGTTAGGCTTGGGCAGGTTGGTCAGGTTTAAAATAATTTATGTATATATTTTTACATAGTTATCTTTTATTGGGCTTTATGGGCCCAACTTAAGAGTATAATTGATTGAAAATATATACAAATTTCATTTACAAATGTACATATACACATATATGCATAATTAGAAGAAAATATATTTTTATATAAATATAGCAGACGTGTTTATTATTAGGTGGGCTCAGATAGGGTCGGGCTCAGGCTACCAAAGGCCTCAACCGAAGTTTAGGTCAGGCCTGAGTTTTCTAGCCCATGCTCAGCCCACAGCCCCAAAACTCAAGCCCAACCAGCACAAAAACTCGGGTTGGGTCGGGCTTGGGTTGTACCCGCCCAAGTTGCACCCCTAAATTTAGTAACAAAAGAAGCATTGCAAGGACTTGGGTACTGTCAATAATAATTATTGATTATTTATTTCCACTTCCTGCTCCTAGAAAAATGTCTTGCTAGCAACAATGTATGCAACTATGCATTAAATTGGAACCCATGTTACTTAAAGTCTTACTACACAATTGCAATCTTTTATCCAATTGCAACTCAGTAAATTAATTTGCAATGATTCGGATAAATAAATCAGGAGAGATGCGTACAATCCAAGGAACCCCACAGGATGCAGCCACTTAACATCCAGTATTCAAGATCCAGAATTCCAGATTCAAACTGCATGGCCATCTAATGGATTTTAGAGTGCTCACCCATCACAATCTCTTAACTACTTTTCCAAAATTATTTGACAATCCATTGCCTCATACACAATTGCATGTAATCAGAGACTCCAATATATAGGAAGTTCTTTTCCATAAAAGTTTAAAAATGGATAACTTATAATGGAGTCAAAATGTCAAGTAAATGCACATTGTTATAAAATAAATCAACTATCATAAAGCATAATATTGCAAAAGTAAACATCAATAAGTCAATATCAATAAGCCCAGGTCCAAACCAAGCCCCAAAGCATTATGATCAATAATCATCAAAAAGAATGATTTTTGTCTTAAAAAATTCCCACATAAAGAACCATTGACGTACCTCATCACCGGTGCTAAGTTGCCACTTAAGCTGTTGAACCTGCCATCTTTGTTGTTGCCATCGGTGCCCAATAACTACAAGGCCCATCAAAGCAGCAGCAACTACAACAGACCAAAATGCATTTGCCTCCTTTGCATGAGCATACAGTGAAGCCACCCGTCTCTTCCACCATGCTTCACAGGGAAGACCAGAGCCACTAAACTTGTCTTCTTTTGTAGGATCTAGTGGCTTTGATAAATCTGAAGGATAATCAAAGCTTCGCTTGGAAGGATCATTATCAGAAATAACTGTATTGTCATCATATAAAGTAGACCCACTAATATCTGCTTCACCATGGAAAGAACCGAATTTAGTTGTTGTGTATATGTTCTGTTCTCCATGAACCAAATTTATCCCTTGTAGGGCTGAACCTTCCTCGAACTCTGTAGCATGAACAGAGAGCCTATTACCCTTTTCATCAAAGAATTGAATCCCAGGAAACTCATCTGGTATTGTCAAACCTTTGGCATTCCAATTATCCTCATATTTTACACTTGATATATCTCCTTCCTCCATATCCATTCTAGGAACCTCATTGGAACCTATATGGTTGCCACCAGGTTCATTATGGATCTCACTGCTATCAGGCTCCAATGGCAGATTTTCATGCTGGCTAGGTGGAAATACAAAGTGATCAGACATGAAGAATGCACGAGAGGCTTCATCATCACCATCAACATCATTCCCCCTCACATCATTATTTGGTCCAAACCCTTTTGGACCAGGGGCAGCAGCATATGCCGATGCTGTAAGTGACACAACTTCCCATTCAGTCCCACGGGTGGAAGTCTCTGCTCCCTCCTTCTCATCATTTGCCATATTCCAATATTTATGCCCTAAATAATTAACAAACACTCACAAACATAAGCTTCATAATACCAAGAGCCAGAAGGAATAAAAATTAATCCTAACACGCTATGTTCACTTATATGATAACTATAAAATTTTTGTACCTATCAGCTTTCAAAGTTGGCAGGTCAAAATGGAAAAAATCGGTAAAGGACCCAAAAAAAAAAGTCCGAGATGGGGGTTCAGAAGGGGAGTGTAAAACAGTAAATTCAATTAAAGAGACCAAATACAGAATGAAAGGATGTTGAGAAAGCAATAATATAGAACTGCATCAACTCATAAGGAACCAAACCAACAGCTCTTGCCACTCGCTACCTGGAAAAATCACCCATGGTCAAATTGGCTGACCGTAGAAAACAAGAAAACACAGTGTTCTTCCTAAATTATGAGATAATACCGCATTATCTTTAAAACTGAACCAGATACAGATACAGCTGCCAATGATTTTAATTTCGATAGCTGTCTAGTACGGAAGGTCAAAACTGTTATCTCATTATGATATTAAAACTAACAAGGAAAATTAGGAAAAATAAATAACTAAGATAAAAAGGAAGTACATCTCTCTCTAAATGCCCATCTCTGTTTTGGATGTATATAGTATTAATTAATTGCATTTCAAAACATGGGAATAAGAACATGTCAATGTTACTAATGGAAACATTTTTTCCGAAAATTGGAGGGAACAATCTAAACTTTGAAATCTTAATCTTACTTTTATGAGAACAATCCCCAATTGTTCGCATTTCATGTACATCATACATACCCACTTTCATACACCATTTCAGATGACTTAAGTTATTAATCTTAATATCTTTGTGGTACCGCCAACCCAAGAGCTCCATATCAAAGTTTCAGAACAATTGTGTGTACTAATCTTCTATTAATGGATAAGCATGAAACTGAACGTTTGAATGGCAATCGTCTGCATGCAGGTTAAGAAGAGAATACATGAAAAAGTCTGTTCTACTTTTTCATTTAACTGTTTGAATAACTAGCAAAATAGCAGCAATTTAATGGATATTCTTGGTGATTATTGATTTCTGGTGTTGAAACTATTTTACTTCTAATTCTTTCCTTCTCTTTCCTTATGTATTAAAAAGGTAGATGATGTAATGAAGAAAGTGCTGTGCTGAAGGAACTAATCAAGTTTCAAGAGAATAAGGAAAGACATCAATATATAGAGTCCCCTTAAAACTTTTGTAGTAGTGGAAACAAATTTCAGTTTTAGAGAAAATTTAAAGACTTTGAGGCATTATAATTAGATATAGTGGGAAAATGTTTTTGAATGGCATGGAATTGGTAACTTGAAACAAATGTAGTCACTATGGCAACCACCACAGACCTTGTAACGAAAGGTTCAATGAATACCGCTAAAAACAATTCAATTTCTTATGCTTAAATTGAAAGACAACAGCAGTGAGTTAAAAAAAAAAAGAGGAAAATTTCAGGCACGTGAAATCAAATCCGATCTTTTTATTCTAGCACAACCACCAATTCATAAGAAGCTAACTCGTAAACAATTCCCAATAGAAAGTATAGTGAATTATCGGGTAATGTTTCTGAAACAAGTGGATAAAGCAAAACAATCAAATAAATCAATACTCTACTTGAAACAACCGTCCGCAATCAACAGAGATATTTCTTGATAAATAAATACGGGACAAATGAATAATTGTCCAATATAATTTCACGAAAATTAACTTCTAATCACCACTTGGAGGAAACTTCATTAAACAACGCTAAATCATCCAGGCCGAACCGAATCAAATCAAAACCCTAATTAATCCACCAGTAAACAGAATTAACTCATCTTAATGAACCCGACTAGGTAAACAAAAACATTTAGATTTGAATATCATCAAACGCCACAAAAACAAATGGAATCCAATCGATTTGCACAAACAGCAATATATATAAGAAAAAAAAAATAAGTAACTGAATCAATCAATACATGGAACTAATGAAAACCCAAATCGTTAACAGATCCGATCCATAACAAACCGATAAGAGTACGAGATTTATTTGTATATTACCTACGACAGTCCTATCGTCGGTAGCCTCCGGCGAGGAATGGAAAAGAAAAAAGGAGAGAGATCTTTTTAGGTTCACAAACGAAATTCAGGCGAGAACGAAAACTGTCTGGAGAAACTGTTACGAGGAGAAGCTTTTATTTATATTTACAGAATTCCCATTAAAAGAGATAAAATGAAAAACCCGTTCGAGCAGTAATTGCTCGATCGACCGATGGGTTTTACCGGCTGTAGCCAGTCAAATTGCATTATGGATTTGTGTAGATGACATCTATAGTTTCGGAATCCGAAGTTAATACCCAACGACAAAAAATGAAGCCCGAGACGATGATATCAATTGCTTGCACCCACTTACACGGTTACACCGGGTCAGCCCTACACTCCACAGATATCCTTGCGTGCGGGAGAAGAAAAATAAATCCACTGGTTCGCGGACTAGTTTAATTTAGTGGTGCCGCGGGTGCGTAACTCGAACACTGTATTTTCCTCTTGCCGTGGGCGATTACTTACAACAAGAGAAGAGCGGGAAAGTAAAATGGTTGCGTCATGTATCATTGTACAAGATCTGACGGTCATGAAATCCGAGAAGTAGCCGGTCGTGTGACTCATGATGCAACAAATCAGTACCTCAAAATTATTCTTTTCTTCTTTGAAAATAAATTCATATGATTACCTCATATTTTCCGGGAGAATTATTGGATGCATCTGCATCCGCATTCAGGTTCAGCTGGTATCAGGTTGAGTTTGACGGTTGGCAACTGCAGGGACCGTGGGGACAGATTTTTTTTTGTGAGGATGAAATCCGAACTCGAAGAAAGGAAGCGTGCACATCAGACCGGACAGACGAGATGTACTGAAAACGCATACGTGGCGCAACCGGCTACATAACCAATCACAAGCGATCACGCCAGAGTTCCGAGTAAAATCTCGGTCGTCTAAAGCGGATACGTCAGTTGCGATGCTAGAAGCAGGATCTAGATTCGCCCGTAATTTTATCCAAAGGGACCCATGTTCCACGTGTTAATACAGAGTGAAACAATAGAAGAGCAAGATAACAGGTGGGACACCACGCGTGTGTGGGTCCCAGTTCCAGCTAGTCATTACATTTGACATATTTGAAGAATTGAGTTCTAAGGAAAGAACAAAGGCAGACGGCGTCAGCAAATCCACGCATCTTAACTTGACACGTGGCACACATGCAGGTTACAGCCAACCATATGTAAGATCCACCCAAAAGAAATTGACCAAATAGACCGTGTCATTCATTAAACAAGGAAACAGTTGGTAAGTATAGCATTCTTGACCGATGGTTACTAGCATGCATATTGTAAGCTTGCCACTCAACAAATTTCCTGGCAGAAGTGTAGTGAATACGGTATGTAAGGTTATGCTTCGATGATGATTCTTCTGAAACCTGTCGAATAGCTTGTTGCATTTGTAGCTCTGCCATATCATTATGTGTGATCAATGTAGACCATGCAACCATCGCATGATCGCTCATTTTGGTCCATTTCGATCTATTCCAATATAAGTTCATTATAGATCGATCGATCAGGTCTAATTCAATCTAATGAATACTTTAGACCATCTAATCTAACCCGATAATTCAATCTAACCCAATCTAATATAAATCCATTATAAATGGGCTGGTCGAATCCATCTGTATAATTTAGTATTGACTCACTCAAGAAAATTAATATTATTAAAAGTTACGAGTACTAACTCTGCCATCCAAGATTGGAGGCCCCAAGTGTTTTTCAAATTTGGTGATTAGGGGTAATCACAACTGTTGCTTTGGTCATAGAAAAATTGAACCAAATTTAACACTATTCTTAGCTGGGTTGTAGACGCTTTGCAAATAATAATGAATAAATCATTAGCAAAAATTACATGAAAATTTGAGGGAGAGTATTGAGACAATTTGCAAGGCTTTAAAAAAAAAATAGCTTGCTCAAATATTCCAAACGAAGTTTATAAATATAATACAAAGGCAGGCTTTATTCGTTTTTCAGTAAATTATTTATTTACCATGTTTTTTTATTTTCTACAAAAATAAGACAATGATTATTTTATTCATAAAAATTCATTATTAATAGGGGTATTTTTGTCCCATTCAAGTGTTGGCAACTTCCCCCAAGTGGAAAATTTATTTAGCCAGGTAAGTGATACCCAAGAAAATAATTTTTCCTTGGTCCCCACAAAAATATGAAAAAAGAGCATAGGTTTCTTGGACAATAAAACTAACTTTCTCCCATCTCAAAATATAAAAAACAAATACCCCCAAAAATATAAGGAGACAAAGGGATCTCCTTGTCTAATACCCCTAGACAGATTGAAAGAACTTAAAACCTCCTCATTTACAACAATATGGAAAGAAGTGGTGGTAATGCAAGACAAAATCAACTTAATTCAATGTGTAGGGATAACTAATTGTTGCATTGTGGCGTTGATAAACTCCCATTGAAACTTATCATAGGCTTTTTCTAAATCTACTTTTAGCCCAACAAAGCTCGTTTTTCCTCTAGTACGACGAAATAAATGAATAATCCCATGCATTAAAGACATATTATCTTGGATATTCCTTCCCGTAGTATAAACCCATTTGGGCTAGGTTAATAACATTTTGCTGAAGTATAATTCATTGTACTCTAACTTTGCAGGGCGAAAGTTTTCTAGATTTACTTGATGAGGGAGTTGTTTTTGTTTCCAAAAAGCAGTCCATTAATCAGTACCCTATAGTTTGGCTTGAGTGACAATTTGGTCCCCGAATTTTAAAATGTGACAATTTAGTACCCGAACTTTCAAAATGTGACAATCCAATACATGTCGTTAACCAATCATTTAATCAGCCATTAAGTGGCATTTGATAAGTCAAAAATGCACTAAGAATTCCATCTAATTCTCTTTATCAACCATCCAAACATTGACAATAAAATGAATAATCCCAAATTCTAGATTCTTCTAAACAATCACCAACTTTTTTAAATAGAAGAGGCTGATTTTGGGACTGTTCATTTTTTTTTCAACGTTTGGATGGTTGATAAAGAGAATTAGATGGCATTCAAAGGGCATTTCTAACTTTTCAAATATCACTTAACGGCTGATTAACGGACTGGTTAATGACAGGTGCTGGATTGTTACATTTTGAAAATTCGGATGCTGGATTGTCGCATTTTAAAGTTCGATTGGAGACCAAATTGTCATTTGAGCCAAAGTACAAGGTACTGATTGAGAATTTTTCCTAAAAGAATTTTTCCAGATTTGCTCATTACAAAGGGCACCTCACACGCACATCCTACCATGCATTGGAAATATCTCCTCCGAGACCGGATCTGCTCCTCACACAGGGCACCTCACATTGACCTCATGCATCGTAGGATGGTACACCATCCCATCAAACTTGTTGTTCAATCCACTCCTCATAGTCCCTGGCTTCCCCCACCCGAATTCCACCCTGTAGACTTGAAACCTTAGCAAGCTCTCCACTACCACGCAATTCACTCCCGTAGGGGTGCGCATTCGGTTTATTCGGTTAAAAATCGAACCGAATAAACCAAAATTTAAAAAACCGAATTAAAAAATAAAAGCCAAAACCGAAATTTAGAAAAACCAAAATAACCGAAACTGAAATTTTCGGTTCTATTTTTGGTTAAAACCGAATTTTAATAGTTATTGATCAAAGTAATTCTCTGGCATGGGTGGGCTGACCCTTTTCTGGCAACCGACGAAGACGGTGAACACAGTGTAGTCCTTCAGCTTGAGGTTGCGTGCACATGTGATGGTCCATCATAAGTGGGTTACAAAGGATTTGAAGGTGGAGGAAGTCTGAGATCCAAGGATTGGAAGGTGGAGAAAGACTGAGATCCACTGGATAGATTGGAGTTGTTGGCATCGGATTTGATTTTGTCGATGGTTGACTCAGAGAACCGGAATATCCTCTGTCTAAGGCGTAGGCCTGGGTTCATATCAGCAACGAAGAGTATGGATGTTGGTAAGTCCAGCTTCAGGCGGATGTCTCTTACTTTGGTACGGTGGTGGAAGGGTTGAACGGAAATAGTTTTGGAACCATGGTAGATCTCGGCCTAGGAGCTCATGAAGTTCCATGTCGAGTCGTGACCGTCTACTTCTAGCACTGCATGATTGAATGCACACCTAATGGCTAGTCCATCTCCCAACTTGGTGAACTGCACACAATTAGCTAGTGAGATAGCGATTATAGATTACAGATTACAGAGAGTATGCTAGTTTTTGGAAGTGTGGTATAATTGATGGTGCATGATAGAATACCTGAACAGCCAACAGTGGACGTTGGAGGCACTCTAAGTTGAGGATGTCCGAGTAGGGAACAATCTCCTACACCCAAGTTGGTGTGACTCCTCTTGTTCTAGTTCTGCAATGCCGACGTCCTCTCCCACCGCCTCCACCATCTCCACCCCTACATTCAGGGGCGGAGCTAGGGGTGGCGGAGGGGAGCCATGGCCCCCCGACGCCTTCAAAATTCCCATAAAATCTATTTAAGTTCTACTTATATTTCGGCTCTTTTACCCATGTTTGCTAGCTTTTCCTAGGTTTTGGCCCCAGTTTGAACTAAAGAAATAGAAAAACAAATATGAGAGAATTGACTTCAATGAGTTGGAGCATTGAAGCTAATGGTATTTATAGACTTCAATGAAGAGTTTGGATCATACAATGACATGTACGAGATAACAATAGAAAACTAGATAGAGTACAAGATGGATCATCTTGATCTTGATTTACAATCCTTATCCTTGTCTTTCTTAGAGTCTAGACTGGTTTTGGATTGGTTAGGAGATCTAGATCTGGTAGAATAACCTCCAAGCGGATTATCTCCAAATCTGGTTCGGTTAGGATAAGTTCCATGAGGATTATCTCCAATATGCCCCCTCAAGCTGAACATCTGTATGTGAAGCTTGGATTGGAGAAGAGTGAACCGTGGTGTGGCAAGAGGTTTTGTCAGCTACTTGATCTTCAGAGCAAAGATACCGCAAGGATAATTTGTTAGCCACGCAAAGATCTCGTAGGAAGTGAAAATCTACTTCCACATGCTTGGTTCAAGCATGGAAAACCGGATGAGAAGCAAGGTAAGTAGCACCAAGATTGTCACACCATAATGTGGGAGTGGAGATTGGAAACCCAAGATCAGTCCAAAGAGACTGAATCCACAAAACCTCAGTTGTAGTATTGGCAAGAGACTAAAATTCAGACTCTGTGTTGGAATGAGTTACAATATGTTGCTTCTTAGAGCTCTAACTTATGAGGTGACGACCCAAATAGATAGCAAAGCCACCCATAGACCGGTGATCATCTGTAGAGCTGGCCCAGACAACATTTGTGAAGGCATTCAGTAGAAGAGAAGTAGAGGATGCAACAAAATGCAGACTATGATCTAGGGTTCCCTTAAGGTAACACAGGATGCATTTAACAATAGACCAATGTTCATTAGTCGGGGTTTGAAGAAACCGACAAACCTTGTTGACTGAGAAGGAGATATCTGATCTAGTGAGAGTGATGTATTGCAGTGCACCAACAATACTCCGGTATTCAGATGGATCTAAGAGATGTGTGTCTGACGTCTTGCTTAGTCGAGTAGATGCTGCCATCGGAGATGTGCAGGGTTTTGCGCCACCAAGTTTGGTGCAATGCAACAAGTCCAGAATGTACCATTTTTGTGATAGATCAAGACTATCAGAGGTCCACTATGCTTCGATCCCAAGAAAATAATGCAATGTGCCAAGATCCTTGACAGGAAACACTGCAGAGATCTGCTGAAGGAGAGATGAAATAGCAGATGGAGAATTGCCGGTAACAATGATATCATCAACATACACCAAGATGTAAACAATAGTAGACTTACTCTTGTAAATAAATAAAGAAGGATCAGCCATAGAGTTGCGAAAACCTAACTGAAGAAGACTGGAAGTCAAACAAGAATACCAAGCACGAGGGGCTTGTTTGAGCCCATACAGGGCCTTCTTCATCTTGCAGACATAGTCTGGATAGTCAGGATGTTCGAACCCCCTGGGTTGGCGAACATAGATGTCCTCTGCTATAAGCCCATGAAGAAAAGCATTATTGATGTCTAGTTGCTGCACAGACCACCGATGAGTAGTAGCAAGCAATGTTCAAAATATCGATACGCCGGTAGGGGCGTATCGGGCATTTCGATACTTGTTTTTTTTACTTTTTTTTTTATTTTTCTTCAAAACTGGACCCCTCCATCCCCTGAACCAGTCAAACCCCCGATACACCCATTGTAGGGGCGTATCAAAAGGGTCCCAGAATGATACGTATCGGCCGATACGGTCTGATACATAACGATACTTTGAACCTTGGTATCAAGAGCTAAAATGGTGCGAATAGTTATTGGTTTGACTACCGAACTGAAGGTATCAGTGAAATCAACACTAGGTACCTGATGAAAACCTTGGGCAACAAGTCTGGCCTTGTACTTCTCCAAAGAACCGTCTGACTTCCTCTTAATTTTATATACCCATTTAGTACCAACTACATTCATGGAAGAATGATAAGGCACGAGATCCCATGTTTGATTTTTCAAAAGAGCATCGAACTCCAGCTGCATAGCCAACCTCTATTGGGAAGACTTGGCTGCTTCTATATAGGAGTGGGGCTCCATTTCAAAAGAGAGAGAACTAAGTAAAGCGGCTAGAATGGGATACCGAGTGGTGAAATGTAATCGAGCAAGGAAAGTGCCATCTATAAAACGAGTGGTCATGGAATGCTGTTGAGTGGGTGGTGGTACAACTGGTGTATGAGCCAACAAGTCCTCCATCGTACTGAAACGCTGCTGCTTGTGAACAGGAGCTTGTACGGGAGAAGAGTTCGTAGCCGAACTGGAAGCGGCACTATCAGGAAGTGGTGCTGCAGGTGGCGGCTAAACTGAAGAGGGAGATACCTGAGATGCTGGAATATGTGAAGGTACATGTAAATAGAATCTCGGTTGAGCTATACTGGTGGGCAATGGAGCCGGAGGAATTCCAGGAAATAAACCTTCATCGAGTACCACATGGCGGGCAATAAATTCTCAACCTATCGATGGGTGCAGGCATCTGTACCCTTTATGAGAGTGACTGTATCCAAAGAAGATGCATTGCAAAGAGTGATACTGAAACTTATGGGCATTGTATGGTTGCAAAAGATGATAATAGGCACACCCGAAACACTGTAGCATAGAGTAGTCAGGGTTCCTCTGAAACAACATATGAAAATGAGATGAACCTTGCAAAGTGGCAGACATGAACCGATTAATCAAGTATACATCTATCTCAGCTGCATCGGCCTAGAAGGAGAAGGGGAGCTTGGAGGTAGCCAATAGAGCGAGAGTGGATTCAATAATGTGGCGTTGTTTTCTCTCAACTGTATTGTTATGCTCATGTGTGTGTGGACATGACACCTAATGGGAGATACCCTGTGAATCAAGATAAGAAGAGAGCTTGCAATACTCCCCTCCCCAATCAGATTGAAAAGCATGATTTTTGGAGTTGAAGAACAATTCAACATGTTGCTTAAATTTTAAAAAGACCTCAAAATATCAAATTTTAGTGCTAAAGGATATATGCAAGAAAATTTTGAATAATCATCAAGAAATAACACATAATAAGAATACCCTTTATTAGACTTAGCTGGGGAAGGACCCCACACATTAGAAAAAACTAGTTCCAACGGACTCTGAGACCTAGATGAAGATAAAGGTAAAGACAATCGACGACTCTTACCTATTTGATAGGATTCACAAACAAATAAATTAGAATTTTGACCAGAATATGGTAAACCATATTGAGAGATGACTTGCTGGACTGTACGAAGTGCTGCATGACCAAAACATTGATGCGAACCCTGAAGGTTTTTCCGTTCACCAACAAGAGCAGAAGTACAACCCTCGTCTATTGACCTCTCAAAGCAAGATTTTCCCCGTATAGTCTTTCACAAAGCAACAATCACGGTGAAACTCAATAAATACATCGTTGTCCTTTGTAAACTTGCTAACAGACAATAAATTTTTGTAGATTGTAGGAACATGACATATATCAGTCAAAGTGAAAGCATGCTGATTAAAGAGAAGATGAAGAGCCAATATATTTTATTTGCAAACCTTGGTCGTTACCCACTCTGACCTGATCTGAACCCTAGTATTTGGACCGAATTTGGATGTTATCAACATTGAATGTCATGTGATGTATTACACCAGAGTCCGGATACCATGTTGGATCAAATGAAGAATTACCGTTGTAGGAAGGTGCAGTGAGACTATTGTAGGCGGTAAGTTCATAATTTTGACCACTGTTATTTGCAAAAATGTATTCCGCCTTCCTACAAGTGAGCGCACCATGTCCTGGTTTGTTGCAGATCTGGCAGATAATCGGAAGTACCTTACCTCATCCACCATTAAAGAATTGATTATGGTTGTAATTTTGTTAAGAATTATAATTCTGAAAATTTTGTTGTTAACCTCGCCCTCGACCTTTATCGCGGCCATACATATTTTGAGAATTTTTTTTGTTAATTTTGGAATCCTGTATTGTTTTTCGGTTTCACTCCAACTAGAATATATAAAACCAAATCAGATTTATGAACAGGTTCAGCAACAATAGACAAACTGTCCGCTATTGATTTTGCTTTTTGAATGTAAGCAGAAATAGATAAAGACCCATTCTTTAAACTGTGCAACTGCTTCCTAAGTTGCAGGATGTGAAATCTAGCATGGGTTGAGTAAGAAGTAGCAAGAGAGCACCATACCTCTGTTGAAGTCAAAAATTCCACAACTTGGGCCATGACACTTTTAGTAAGAGAAGAAATTGACCAACTTAGAACAAGTTGATTAGTATCATACCATTTGACATATTCTAGATTCAAAATACTCCCTTCGCCTACTAGATCAAGTATCATCTTTAGTGAAGGTTGCTTTTTCCCTTCAACAAGATCCATCAGATGGTGATGTCAGAGTATAGGAAGGAATTGCGCACGCCATAGTAGGTAGTTGTCACTACCTAGCTCGATGGAGAGGTAGTGCGCCACGTTCTGAAGAGAAGGATTCAAAGATGTCGATCATGAAATATTCAAACCAGCATCGACATTGGTTTGGTTGCCATTGCTCCCTTGAGAAAATCCATCAGTTTTGATACCAAGTTTGAACTAAAGAAATAGAGAAATAGATATGAGAGAATTGACTTGAGTGAGTTGGAGCAATGGTATTTATAGACTTCAATGAAGAGTATGGATCATATAATGACATGTACAAGATAACAATAGAAAACTAGATAGAGTACAAGATGAATCGAGTCCAGATCTCCTGCCCATAGCTTCCTACCCACATCACTACCAATGTCACCAATTTTGGACACATGTCCAATAGCATGTGCTCTTCTTCACATGTGCAGAGAATTGCATGTGAAGTAATGAGGATGTAATGGGACGAACGTCAACTCCATCCTGTCAAAACCCAGATTTCACCCATTAACCCAACTAATATTTTTACCTAAAAAAAATTACTTTCCCCTTCCCAACAACCCTAATAGTGTTTCGTTCTCTCCATTCATTCTTTACAGGTACTGTTCCAAGAAACTTTACAGGCAACTAGGAACCAACAGCCAGCGACGTGCTCATTGACATCTTATTCTCTCCGTACTCCACCGATTAACCTTCTTCTTCTATTCTCCACAACGTCCTGTTCCAAGAGATTCCACCACATCCAACATCCAGCAATCGAGGACGTGCTCACCGACATCCTATTCTATGAATACTCCTCCTCCATCGCTTAGCCTTGTTTTTCTTATCTCCAACAGTAGTGTGTCCTCTTCCCAAGTACAAGAAGAAAACTCCGATGGTTAATCAACTTCAAATGGTATGTGAGTTTCTGTTTTTTTTTTTTATTCTTCAGCTCTAATTGAAAATTGGAAATATTTATTTATTCTTGACTATGACCTAAAAGAGCTTAGGAAGACGATTTTTTAATAAAACATTTGTCTACTCTCCATTATGACATAGAAGAGCTTAACATGAAAGACTATTTATTTAATCTTTAATAAAATATTTGATGATTGTTTAATAAAACTAATGTCACAGGGGTTTCAATTTTGAATTTAATAAAATATTTAATTCATTAATTATTGCATCTAGTTTTAGTTTTATGCATTTGTAAATATATTTGAAAATTTGGGTGGACAGAATGCATATTTACTTTAATTTTCCCCTTTGTTCAAATGGTGTGGGCATTCTTTAATATTTTTTTATTAAAATTCTTATAATATAGGAATCAAGGTTTGTGGTCCCCTCTATTACAATGATTATTCATCTCTATGCTCACCAATTTTTAATCTTTTACTTAGAAGGAGAAACTAATCCAAATAGAAGTTTTTGGTTCACTAGGGTGGGTGGCTTGCCTTTCTATATTATGTACCAAACAATTTACATTATTTGGCCCCTTTATATGTCCCAAGTCAACATTGGACAATATGAGATTAAAGACAATACAATACAGAAATGACCCCTTTACATATGGTGTTGAATGTTAATCCTAAAATTTAGATTCCAAAGTCTGTTTAGATGGTATCACAAAGTCCTAATCCAATTGGAGCTGATTTCCTAGTTAAGACATTACTTAAGAAGAAAGACAAATCTTATTTTATAAATAATATTTGAAATGGAAAAAACTCACCCTGAAAAAGAGAGAAACACATGACCATTTGAAAATTGATTTTCTAGCTTAAAAAATAACAAAAAAAAAACTACAAATATAATGGTTTCAATATCAAGTTAAGTATCATTACACAAGACAACCTTTAAACACATCAAGGTTACACAAAAAAAGAAGAACAAAGTCAAGATCGTCATTCTTCGAGTGTGTCCTTGTGCTCATTGTATCATATCCACTTTTGCTTCCAATGCCATAAACTTTGGTTTCTATTGCTTTTGCTTCCATCAAATTAGCTTGTCGGGCATTGATGCACATTCCTCTCAAGTCCCAAAGATGCACATACATCTTTAATTGACAACTAATAACAAGGAAAGGAGACAATGAACCCTCTGTGAGATAAGGTCATAAGAGATTAAAGTATCTTCACCTGCATTGTAACTTGTAAGCAAATATTGATCAAGTTTGATATGACGGAATAAAAGAAAGAATGGAAGATTTAAGATTTTAACAAGTAGAATTTCTTGAACGTACATGTGCCAAATTCATTATTTCTACACTTTTGGAATTTTTTAATGTGCACGTGCCAAATTCATTTTAAACTGAAACATGATTAATCTAGTTGAACATCCCCTGTTAAGACCAGACTAGCTCCTCTAGTTGTGACCTTGATATTATTCCAGGACAATCCAAGACGCATCTCCAAATAAGCTTCAGTAATTAATGATTACTTCCTGTTAGCATGTTGGTTTTTGATGTAAACTCTCCATGGATGTAAAACTAAAGAAGATGCAAGTCTCCCTCAAGTTTTATAAAGAATTAAGTTCCTTTTACCTATAAGTGTATCAATTAAATTAACTTAATAGTAATCCAATAGGACCATAGGATCATCAAGATACCCTTAGCAAGTTGAGGAAAATGAAAATGAATTCCAATGTGGATTGTATCCTCAAGCAACTAAACAAATATGATAAGTCATTTTGCTTTTATTGTCATCTAAAGAAAATTTGCGCTCTCAGGTCCCAGACTAAACATTGTCTTGATACCCTTGATTTGGCTACGCCGTCATCAAACTCATTGACACTCCTTGGAATCCATTTGAACGAGCAGTTCAGATTTCTCCCCAATAACTGAGCTCCACTAACCATAAACCTGAATTTCCAAGGCACTACTTTTGTACACAAGTACACAACCAAGAGATGAAAATTTGACTACAAGTCCCCTCAACAATTAAATTTCTCCAATTGTTCACTGCTACTAGTTATAAATCATTCAACCATAATAAATTAAACTAACAACAAAAATGAAATAACTAGCATCCCAACATAAAACATTGAAGAGAGAGAGAGACTCACAATGGTGTTGAGCTGCCTTATGAAGCTTGAACTCCTTATGAAGTAATTAGGAAGCAAGTCTTGGGAAAACGTAGTGACAACTGACAACCCATATAATAAAACTCTTTGCTCGAACTCCACAAAACTGATCAGTTGCAGGATATCAACCATATCATAGCTTTAAGTCCTGTATTTGGAATGTCGTGCAATAATACAAGAAAATCATCAATATGGGAAAAAATAATATGAGAATAAATTGAGGAGATTACAATGCCTAGCCAGAAGAAAATAGAAAATAAGTGAATCAAATAAAACAGAGCATAACTATCGGTGAGAACCTGATTGGAAGAACTATAAGAAAATAATGCTCAATTTTTTCTTGTATTGGTTGAGGTTACTTAACCACCAGTGTGTCGGTGAGCACGTCCTCGATTGCCGGTTGCCAGTTGCCAGATGCTGGATGTCGGTGGAGTCTCTTGGCACAAGACGTTATGGAATAGAAGAAGGTTAACCAATGGAGTATAGAGAGAATAAGATGCTGGTTGCCAGCTGCCTATGAAGTTTCTTGGAACAGTACGCTGTAGAGAATGAGTGGAGAGAACAAGACACTATTAGGGTTCTTGGGAAGGGGACACACTGTTGTTGGAGATAAGAAAAACAAAGCTAAGCGATGGAGGAGGAGTATGCATAGAGTAGGATGTCAGTGAGTACGTCCTCGATTACTGGATGCCGGATGTAGGTGGAATCTCTTGAAACAGGACGTTGTGGAGAATAAAAGAAGAGGGTTAACCAGTAGAGTACGAAGAGAATAAGATGCTGGTGAGCACGTCGCTAGTTGTTGGTTGCTAGTTCTCAGTTGCCAGTTGCCGGTTGCTTGTGAGTTTCTTGGAATAGTACCTGCAAAGAATGAATGGAGAGAACGAAACATTATTAGGGTTGTTGGGAAGGGGAAAGTAATTTTTTTAGGTAAAAATATTAGTTGGGTTAATGGGTGAAATCTGGGTTTTGATAGGATAAGTCCGTCCCATTACATCCTCTTTACTTCACATGCACTTCTGCACATGTGAAGAAGAGGCACATGTTATTGGACACATGTCCAAAATTGGTGACATGAGCAGGGATGTGGGTAGGAAGCTGTGGGCAGGAGATTCGGACTCAGATGGATCATCTTGATCTTGATTTATAGTCCTTATCCTTATCTTTCTCAAAGTCCAGGATCTGGTAAGATAACCTCCAAGAAGAATATCTCCAAAGCTGGTTTGATAAGGACAAGTTCCATGAGGATTATCTCCAATAGCCCCTATCTATATTTTCTAGGTTTTAGCCCTCTCAATAAAAAAATCCTAGTTCTGCCCCTGCCTACATTCTCCTAGTTACACTCCACCCTTAACACCCCTTCCTCATCCTTCACCAGTTTCCTAGCCAGCGGAAAGAACTCTTCCAGAACTAACCCCAACCCTTCCTTTAATGTCGTCATCACGACTCCTCAAAATCTATCCCTTTATACACCAATAACTTCTAGTTGTAGAATATGGTCAGGTAGGGAAGATCAAATGTGACCAAGGGGCATTCCCGTTTCCCCACAAGCTTGGGGATGGCTGTAGTACTCTTGTTAAGGACCTTGACTTTGGGTTTCTTCACCACCATCACCTCCACCACCTTGGTCCCATTTTCAGTTTCATGGTTTATGTTGAAACTCAAGAAAAGGAAACTCTTTGCACTGAATATTCCTTATGATTGAAAGCCAATTGTCTTAGAAGAGGATTAATGCAACTGTTTTGCTTACAATTTTATTCGTTCATTTTGATATATACCAATACTAGCAGGGACCCGTGCAATGCATGGGAAAATCTAAAGGATTAAAACTACTAATTAATTGATAAATTAATAATCAAAATTTGTTGTTAATTAACTAAAAATATTTAAAAGTTATTGTTAATATTTAAAATTTTAATAATTGTATTTTTTATTTAATGATGATTTGCAAAAAAAATAATTATTGTTAATATAATATGAACAAATATTTTTCAATAAATTTAATTTTATTAATCATTTGTAGTAATTTTAATAATTGTTACTATTTTCATTATTTTTAAATAAAATTTTGGTTGACTTTAAATAAATAAAAATTACTACAAAAGTTAACATGTTTATTAATTTCAAGGTGGGGCATCCATCATTCTTCCCGACCCGTAGTTAAAACACTCTACCCCATCCCCACCCGTCCCCAGTGTCAGGCAGGGTAAGGGCAAGGCATCCACTCCCCGCAGACCTGGCAAAAAGTTAACCCAACCTGTGAACCCAACCCAATCCAACTTGAAAAAACAGGGTTAGGGTTTCATACTTAGCTACCCGAATGTGAAAATGACCTGACCTGAACCGGAAAAAAAAAACTGGGTTGGGTTGGGTCATGGGTCAACCCACTGACCCGATTGTCAAGTCTAATTGGGATTATTTATGCATTGTTAGAAGTTTCCACTCTTTAATTTTTTCTATTTAGTCTTTATTTTTTATTGTTTACTTTTTAAATTGTTAAGTGTTCAAGTTTTTTATTTTATATTTGGAATTTTAAGGTTAATTCTTTTAATTTTGACATTTTTCATGTAATTTTTCTTTATATTTTTTTTAAATTTCAATTATTTTTTGGAATGACCTGAATTGACCCATGGGTCAACCCTAACCCCAACATTTAGGGTTAGGGTCTAACATTTGACAACCCAACCTGAAATCAACCCGAAATACCTTGACCCAACCCAATTGCTAGGTCTAACTCCCCGTTAAGGACGAGGAATCCTCAAATTTCCCTACCTCGTCCTCAATGTCGGGCAAGTTCAGGGCAAAGCACCCACTCCTCATCAAGGTTGGGAAATCCTCGAATTTTCCCCACCCCGTCCCTTGTGTTGGGTAGTTTCAATGCAAAGCACCCACTCCCCATCAACCAAATATTTAATTTGATGACATAAATGATCAAAGGGATATACTGATTATCAACCACATGGTAAATTTCTAAAAGTACAATCAATTGTCTTTAATTTTCAAAAATGTAATTTTATGAAAATTTTGGAAAACTTATTACATTTGTGTAATTTTGGACATGTATTCAAATTTATTTTTAAATGACTTACTTACATAATTACACTAATTTATCTTATATTTTCTAATATAAACTAATCAATCATTTCCTTTTCCAATATTATACTAATTTATCTTAATAATATGTATAATTATTGGTTCAAAACTGGTCACAACTTTAGTACCTTCCCCCTTGGCGTCACTATCCACATTAGATGCCAGAATAAGATCTTTGGAAGCGTCCATAACTTTCAGCTCGCTGATAGGACGATTCGGGAGGGTAGCTGCAAGAAGCTTGCATAACTTGAAGCCCTTCCTTACAAAGGGCACCGCAAAATCAATCTTCTTGGCTTCAAACTCCAAGGAGGCTTTGAAAGAAGCAATTGCCTCCTCGCGGGCCTTCTCTAGCTCGGTCTCTGACTCTTCCCTAATCTTTGCAAGTTGCGCCTTCAACGCATCTTCCCTCTCCTAACTGGCCTTGATCTAGGCGAGCAATTTCTGGTGTTCCGTCTCCGAGGTTTGGAAACTAGACTCGACGGCTTGGAGTTTTTGTGTCAGCTCGGCAGTAGCCACTCGGTGACTAGAAACAATCACCTCATATTCAGCCTTAAGAGATGCCAAGTCAAATTCCACCTAGGACTTCTTTGCTACTATCTTGTTAATCTCGCCCAAGTACCCTTCCTCGATCTAAGCCAGGTTGTCAACTTGGTCTTGCTGGCTACGCGCTCTCGTACAAAGATAAAGTTAGAGGGCTCGGCGAGGAAGAAATAAGAGCAGAGGAGAGGAGAACAATTAGTTTACCTTCATAAGATACTTAAAAAGGTGAATCCTCATCACATCAAAAGGGAGGTTCTCCATCTTTGCTCAGGGCGAAAGTAGTACTACACCCTTGCTCAGCTCGCAGGCGACGACATGGTTCCGCACGACATCACCTTGGTGGACAGACTAGCTAGGGACCTAGATCGGGGCATGTTCGACCTTTCTCTCGACAAAGTCAGAGCTAGAGGCAACACTGAAGAACCCGAAGCTTGAGGACATTCTGATGGAAATGAAGTTGAAATCATCTTTACCTGAGCTTGTGCCTCCAATCCTGCTAACTACTCTGTTTCTGGGGCTTGCAGCACCTCATCCTCCACAGTGATAACCTCTGTAGAAGCAAAAACAGCCGGGGTGTCACAGTGTGGGAAGATTTGTCTTCAGTTGCCTTCCTCTTCTTCGGCTTCAGCTTTTTGAGTGTTGTAAGCCTGCCCACTAACTGATCCATGTTTCTCTCTAGAATAAAAAGGAAAATGAGATTAAATTAATTCCATAATTAGCTCAAAAGATAGAGTGCGAGAGTCAAGCACCAGGGACCAGATCCTGATGGACTAAGAGAAAGACTACCTTAGCGTCCTTGGCTCAGGCCTGCTCACAGGAGGGCATCCTCGGCCAAATAATCATCTACCTTTAGCCCGAGATGTGCAATCTCCCTCAACCGACTTTTTTCCTCTGAGGTTAGGAAATGTCCCTCGGGATCGCTAACAGTCGTGCCCCACCTATTAATAAACTTCCAGAGACCACCGTAGACAATGAAGTACCTAGACTTCCAATCCAAGACTTTGCTCGGAAGGCCCTCAAGAAACCTCCGACCTAACTTGAAGGTGAAATAAAAGAACTTCATATCACCTGAGTTGTGCCTGATAACACACAAGGCCATATAGGTCCTCATCTTAATGGGAACACCGTGTGCATGGCCCATAGAAGTAGCGCTGACTATAAGCCTAATGGCATTAGGGGTGAGATATCCTCAGGTGATCAAGAAGATGTTCAAAAGGTCGGTGACTAGAAGAGGAAGGGGAAATCTCAACCCCGTGACAAAGTGCTGCTCATATATACAGACCATGTTGGCACTATGATTCCAAGGAGCCTCGTTTGGGGTAGGAAGCCTAAAACGGAACTTATCAAGGACCCCGTAGAGAGGGTGGATCCTCTATAGGTCGACCAAAGTACACTATCAAAATAAAGGGTTCATCGGGGCTAATCACGAGCTCATTAGGTACTAAAGTGAGCTGCCCAGATTCCCTACGACCTCCCTCTATGGTCTCTCTGCCCTCTCCATCTCGGCAAAATTGTTTATCGTTGAGCTCGACATGAAACAACCAAAAGAAGAAACGAGAAGTAAAAAGAAGTTGGGAGAAAAGGACTCACCCGAGACTGACCGAAGAACGAAGACGGGGTGAAATGAGAAGTAGAACCGACCTTGGGAACGAGCTCTCCAACCTCAAATGGGGACCACTCCAAAGGCGAATGTGAGAATGGACCCCCCATGGGGTCCCTATTTATAGGCAAAGGAAGCAGACGGCGGATGTCTGAGATCAAATGAAACCAACAATTGAAGATTTGCAATGGTTGGACTTCTCGAGGAACCAAATCAATTGAACGCATTTTTTAAATCCAAATTGGATTGATAAACAACATCAAGTCCACGCGTAAGATTGACATGTCTGTCGAAATCCTCCCAAGCGATGTTTCCAAACGCATTGAATGGGATTAAAGACAGATAGACAACCAAACATCCGAAGAAAGCCACTACTAGAAGAAAGACTTCCTTCACTCAAGCCAAACCATCTTGAGTTCGAAAGTGGGGGGCAAGTGATGGGAGTAAAATCGACCCCCGGTCAACTAGACACATAGCATGCATAGGAGAGCTGTCAACTGACCTATGGATCGAACATTAGAGACCTAGCTTGATCTCATACCGAGATCAGTTACCTCGGGTTTATGAGCCCTTCTCATTGAGAGATATGCAACCTGAGGGATAGACTGCCCGAGCTCTCACGAGGTTCTCAACAAACGGATGGCTGAGATGACTATTGAACCGAAGTCCGAAGAGGTAGTTCCTACCAAGACGGATTGTTGTCAAAGGCGAGCATAAAACCTCACCATGTGTCTAGAGAGTGACTGCTTGGCAACCCATGTGGTAGAGTAATCAACACGTAAGACATCAATGGACCCCAAGCCTACCCCATGCATTCTTGATGTGGCATACCACTCAGCCCTACATGGTACATCAAGCACCACATTGCCAAATCACCTAATAGGTGGCCCTGGCTAAATCCCAAGTGGCCTAACTAGGTCACATGTGTCTTGGAACCGAGCTCCAGGTGTCCTAATCAGTCCCTAGGTGTTCAAGGCCAAACACCAGGAGTCTCACGGTGTGGCAAATGCCCTACGCTTGACCAACATGTGTAATCTCAAACGTGCAACCAAAACCTATATAAAGGTAAGAACAACATTCAATTGGACATGATGTTTTTCATTGAATTCTCACCTACCCTCCTAAATAGCTCATGAACTAACTTAACCGTTGGAGTTACAAGCCTGAGATATCACCCCAGGCTCTCTGACCTTCCTTCTTCCTTTGCAGATAGACACTAGTCTGTTCTAAAGACTTGGATGATTTTTTGCAATATCAATAAGTATTTTGACAACTGTCAAAAGTGGGTTTTAGGTGGCGCTTGATAAATATGAAAGTTAAAATGATATTAAAAGTGTTTGAAATTTGAAAAGAGGCGCATATGCTTTTCTACTTTTTAGAGGCTCTGAATAGTTAAGGTTGTTTGTGTTTGATCAATCCTTCAACATCTGAAGTTTCCTAATTTTACTATTTTATCCCTAAAATAGATTAATTGGTGATTTTAAGTTCAATTTGCACTATTTCATAAAAATAATTTATTAAATTTAAAATAATATTAAAAATATGAATAAATAATACAAATAAAAATTAATAACAACAATTAATAATTAAAAACTATTAAAATAATTAATAATTAATAAAAAATAATCTATAATTAATAATTAATAAAAATTAAAATAGATAGTAATTGATACAAATAAAATAAAAATATTAAATTCAAAATAACATTGAAATTTATGAATAAATTATTAAAATTTAAAAATAATTTATTAAAATAAGAATAAATTTTGAAAATACATATAAATTTATAAATTAAAAATTAAAACAATATTGAAAATAGTAATAAAATCCATGAAGCATATAAAAATTATTATAAAAAATTAATGTAATGAATTTATTGAAGAACATCAATTGATAAACTACAAGCCCAAATTCAGTTTATTGAATCCAAAAGGATGTAGGTGCATTTTGATTATGGATATATCCAACAATTTGTTCCTCGATAAAAAAAAAAAAGATGAATTTGGATTGCTTTTCCTTGCAAGTAGATATGGACATCACTCTCCTTCAATGGTAGAAAACAATTTCTTGGTAGAGATACAAACAACCTATACAATAGGAATGAAACCTCATCGGATTGAACTAAAACGAACATATAAAAAATGAGATACTGGTTCGAAGGAGAGGAGAGAGAGTTTTGCATAATGAAGAAAAAGAGATTCTGGTTCGAAGGAGAGGAGAGAGAGTTTTGCATAATGAAGAAAAAGAGATTGAGATTCGATGGGAGAGGAAAGGATTACAGGCCATGAGCGTCAAAGTTATCTACACTGTGCATCATAGAACATTAACGTTGGAATGCTATTTGAAACCCTAAAAAATGCAAAAAACGGTAAAAAGGAAAGTGAATGCTTGGATTTACAACAATGAAGAAGCAAAACGAAAAGAAAAAGTTGGATTTGAGATGCTGAATATACCTAGTTCGAGAGGAAGAACACAAATGCTCAGATTCGGCAATGCAGCGATTGTTCTTTCTCTTTCGAGAGGAAGAAGACGAATGAGTGGATTTAAAAGAGGGGTATATTGTGTCTTTTCAAAAGTTGGTATTTTTGTCTCTAAAACGTGTCTAAACACATTAAATATTTCAATTTGAAAAACCATTTCAGATCATTATTTAAGACACATTTCAAACACGTATCAAACGGCATCTTACCCTTTTTGAAGGTAGGGTGAGGGTATTTTGAGGGGAAAAAAAATTGCAAGTGCTTACAACGTTGTGCATACGTGATCCTAACTAGGTCTAAACGCCATCCTAAACAGTTGAAATTAGAACCACGAATTCCTTCTGTTTTTTTCTACCAATCATGCAACGTGGCATATTTTTATTGGTTTTCAGGGAAATAGAACTTGTCGTCCTAAAATACCAAGGGAAGTAAGCAAAACGACTGACGATTGTTCCCACCTGCGCTCCCCCTCCGACTTATCTCCAAAAGCTTCTTTCCTTCTTTTATTTTACAGCTGCAGCAACCTTTTCTAAAGGTTGCGGTTTTCGGGAAGATGGGAGACCTTTATGCCTTAGATTTTGACGGAGTTCTGTGTGACAGCTGCGGAGAGAGCTCTCTCTCTGCTGTCAAGGTGAGACTTTCTTTCTCTCTGTATTTCACTTTGTTGCCGCTTCTGCTTGTTCGTTTTAGGGTTTTAAAATAGTAAGTTAATGCTGAATTTTATTCAACTTCTCTTATTTTATAATAATAGGCTGCTAAAATAAGATGGCCTGGCCTCTTCGATGGAGTGGATTCGGCCATGGAAGATTGGATCGTCGATCAAATGCACGTCGTGAGCTCTCCCCCTTTTCTTATTACTTATTAACATTTTTCATTGCTGTCTTGTTTCTTATTACTTATTCTCCCCCTTTAAGAAGAATAACTGGGAGACTTTTTTCTTACAGCACAATGTATGTAGTTATTCAAATCACTTTTATAACCTCATCCATAATTAGCTTCAAGAAGAAGAATGGTAGTGATCTTTAATTCTTTATCTCATAATACGACATATCTAGGCCTCTGTTTGGAAGTGCTTATTGGATAAATTAAGTGCTTATCGTAATAAGCGCTTATGAGTGTTTGGTGAAAAAAGCACTTCTTTCAAACGGGAGTAGTATAGATTTCCTGAAAATTACATGGCAGGCAAAGATGGGCAAGAATCGCTTGAAAAAAGAAAACCAAAATTTTGAACTAATTCAAAATGGGCTTTATTTATTGAAAAAGCGCTTATTCGGGCTTATTTTTCAAATGCATATAAGTGCTTAGTGATGTGATCCTAGCCTAAAATAAGAACTTTTTTTTCCAATATCTTCCAAACAGGGGCTAGCTTTTGAACCCATTTTGTTGACTCAATCCTTGTGTGTGAGAGATTTCTCATCTTATCATCCCAATTAATGGTAATTGGTTGATCTGACATGGCCTCCTCAGATTATTCAAGCAACAGAAGTGGATTTTAATCTGTTTGCATGGAATAATTAAATAGGATAAACAATAGTTCCTTTTTGGTGTTTAAACATATGCGTCCATTATTGTGTTCATATATTTAAACACCAAAAAGGAACTATTGTTTATCCTATTTAATTATTCCATCAACATTATTCATGCAAACAGATTAAAATCCACTTGTTCATATATTGCCCCGCCTTTTGTTTGTTGTCCCAGTCAATTGCAAATTTTCTTTCTTTGTTGTTGAGTTTTCTGGCATCAGACATCCCTTTTCGGTCTATGACTCTTTCTGAGAGGTCCATAAGCAGATAATAAAACAGGTTCTTGTAATGTTGAGTATCTCTTTTAACTAATGATAACCATTTGTTTCCTTCTAAGACATGGAAAAGTCGGAAAATCAAAAGAGTATACATTTCTGATTTTTCTCTGATGGTCCAGTGAAAAGGAATTTGAAATAATCCTTTGCAAAAAGATTATGTTTGACCTAACTGATGTCTTACCCTGTAATAGGTTCGCCCTGTAGTGGAAACTGGATATGAGAATGTATTACTTGTTAGGTTGCTTTTGGAGATCCGGATGCCTACAATTCGCAAGTCTTCGGTGGGTATAATCTTGATGCAAAAATTCCATTTCTCTGTGTTTTCTGAAATCAAAGGCAACCATCTCCTTCCTAGGGGTGGTGGTAAGTTGGAATTGGAGTAACATAGTTTATTTAGCAACTTCAAATTCATGACTAGATTACTAGAACCACAAAATCATGTAATTCTTGATGCACTTTTGTAATCAAGATCTACATGTGATGAAAAAATTTCAATGTGTAAGGTTGCAGATGGACTCACCATTGACAGGATACTGGACAACTGGTCAAAGCTGAAACCTGTCATTATGGAGGAGTGGGATGAAAATAGGGAATCTTTAATTGAGCTTTTCGGAAAGGTAAGGGATGAATGGATAGAGAAAGGCCTATCAAGTTGGATTGGTGCTAACAGGTAATATATTTTGGGTGGACTTGTAATAATCTCTCAGAATTTTTGTCTTACAAGCTAATGTGTATGCTGATGCATGACTAATACAATCTGAGGAACTTAAGCAGATGATACCACATCATATTTATTAATGTGAAATTTAATGATCAGTGTTGTGCTTTTTTAGTAGACAATTTTATACTAACTGACCAGAAAGATGTCACTTCCACCGTCATAGTACTACAACAACAATAATAAGTTAATATAGTTGCAGCGGTTAATGGGTCATCTCAATTATGTATTGATACATTGGGAACTGTAACTTCTGACCAGTTCAACAGAGACATGGAAATGTATACTAATCTGTCAAGGATCAAGGTTTTGGACATGCTGACTTTGGCAGTTAGCAGACATGATGATTAATCTACATTGAGCAATTTGACACATCAAAAACTATTTAGAAGAACGCAAAGTACTAATGTGTCTGGATTCATAGATGTATAATAGAATCTACTAAGGACCAATGAAAACCATACCCATATGCATATTCTTTACTCTTGCTCATAAGCATAGTTGTCAAAATCTTAAGATTGACGATATGATTCACTTGTTGAATGGTTAATTCCAAGGGTTTCGATTCTAATGTTATGTCTGAATCGTTTTCCTGAAAAATATCTTACAATTTCTGTTTGAATCGTACAATTCAATTCATGAATCCCACAGATTATATGGTCCATGCAATATGAATCTAATCAATTGAAACCAATTTCTCTACTTTGTCATTCCTTTGTTTCTTTATTCTTTTATCAAATAGCACCTGTTTTAAAACTCTTATTAGAATAAGATTTTCTTAGGTTGTTCCAGAATTATCTAGAAATCTTATTGAGCTTATCTTCTATCATATATAAGTTAAAGTGCTATTGTACACTAGTTAATTGACTTTCAAGTCAAACATATCATTTCATGTTCTAGTTTATGAATGACTGTATTGTAGCAAGGTGCCAACTGGTTAATTGGTAAGGCCTCCGGCTGGTTGTTGTGGAGACTTTGGATCAAATCCCACCTGCACCAGGGTTTGGTTGATGGGCTATCCCCCATTGTGTAGCCCCATGGAACCAAAAGAAGAAGAAGAAGAAGAAGAAGAAGAAGAAGAAGCAGAACTGTTTTGTATGTACTATGTATATACATGGTAGATTTGAATTAAATCTGTTGACAAGTTTCTAAAAAAGAATAAATCTTATTATTTATGATAGGGTTCATAATCCAATTTGATTCAACCTTCGCTGCTATTTACTACAATATTTCAATTTTGAGAACATTGTCATAAGTTGATGAAGCATAAAAATTAAATGGTTCAACCAATGGTTTACTAGAAATTTCTAATCCCATCATAAAAAGAAAAAACCATGTCTGTCAAAATAAAATAAAATATCTGAACTAAAACCACTGAAAGAACTGCTCTTTTTATACCAGATTTAATTTGGACAGCATCAATGCTTCTGTGAATTTGACATTTCACTTATTGGATGCAATCTTTTTTATTCTTATCTATTTATCTATTTATAATTTTTTTGGTATTTTATATATTTATTAAATTGTGAGTGTGGCATATTACTTGCTGAAACATGAAGTTTGGCAACTGAAAATTAATTAGGAATGCCTACCCATGCAGATTCTATCCAGGTGTACCAGATGCCTTGAAATTTGCAAGTTCAAGAATATATATTGTCACTACAAAACAGGTCCACCATTTATTTATTTCCTATAAGAAGTAACTGGACAGAATACTATATGGCCAAATGTGTTCTTATGTGAACATATCAAATATCCTTCTATCTTTTTTAGGCTTTTGATAAGCCGGGCTAATTTTTTGTTTCCTGAACAGAATTGTTCTTTCTGACCATCTACTGCACTTCAGGCCCGATTTGCTGATGCATTGTTACGTGAGCTGGCAGGAGTAACAATCCCATCTCACAGAATATATGGTCTTGGAACTGGGTTAGTAAATAGTGCACTGCTTGGGAAATATAAAAATTGGTCTCTTTTTCCTAACCACTTTTTATCTGTGTTGCACTTTGCATTTTCTTGTGTTTTGATTTTTGGAAATTTTATTCAGTCCCAAGGTAGAAGTGTTGAAGCAGCTTCAGAGCAAAGAAGAGAACAAGGGGTTGACACTACAGTAAGATCTGTTACTGCTTATCTGAAAAATGGGATGGTAATTTTTTCTTAAATAAATTAGTTCCAACGTGACATGTTTGGATCCACCTGGAATGAAATGATTTCATTGTGGTTCTCCATTTAGCCTTTGAGAAAAGGTTCACCAATCCAAAGCAAGCCATCTCTGGCTGCACTGGGAGGTAGTTATATCTTATCTGAAAATCACTCCATGGACTCTTTTTTGAAACCAAACTGGTACCACCGGTTTTTGAAAAAACCGTGAACCAAAACTAATCAGTTAACCAGTCCATCAGTTTGGTTCCTCAGTTTCTCAGTTTTTTATATTTACAATATATATATATATATATATTATATTATAACATTTATAAATAATATATAATATAATATAATATATGTATACTGGTCAGTTTGGTTTGGTTCAGTTTTTTGGTTTTTGTTGAGCAGCCCTTGGGCATCTTGGGTTAAAGTGCTATTGCATTGTATGTGGCATCTAAACATGCCAATAACAAACTATTCTTGTGCACTGCCAGTGAATGCATTGGGTGGTGTTCTGTTAGGCTTCCCTTCTTTGCTGTGTACATATATTAAAATCAACTCTTTCATTTTCAAAATTAAAATCAACCCTTCCAATTTCCTGATCAGCTTTGTGGAAGATCGACTTGCTACTCTGAAGAATGTCATCAAAGTGCCTGAGCTTGATGGATGGAATTTATATCTGGGTAGTTTCTTATTTTCTCTTCTTCTCTATCACTTGTTTTTACATTTGTATATAGATTTGCTTGCTAAGCTGGATGTATTTGGAGCAGGGGACTGGGGTTACAACACGCAGAAAGAGAGGGAGGAAGCGGCAACCATTCCTAGGATTCAGCTGCTGGAGCTCTCGGACTTCAGTAGAAAGCTGAAATAAGTTTATAACATCTTTTATCTTGTTACGTAATTGATTTCCACCATATAATCAAACTGTGATGTCTTTTAACATGTAGCCGACCCCATATAGTTGGGACAAGGCTTAGATGATGATTACATCTTTCAAACAAGTTAGACTTTCCCTCGAAAAGGAAGTATGGAACTGTTGGAAAGCATTTGCAATAAGATGCTACGAACGACATTTGGTGTTTCTGCTGAAGTTGTTATGAATACCATCACATTCTGCTCTATAAGTCCCATCCCATCCTACCAGGGCAAATGACTTAATAGGGAAATCCAACATCTGAGCTCTGTGCAGATTTCATTGGAAGATCTTAGCCTGTTATAAAGATTTCAGGTCGTAAAGATTTCACTTGATTATCATCCTGTTATAAAGATAGCACTTGACTACCTCCAGATTAACCCATATATATTTTTTTAATTGGGCATGGAGGTGCAGAATGCGTTTTAAGTTCAGCAAACCTTCTATTCTTGTTTGGGAACTTTTAGCAGTGTAAACTAACTCGTACCGACACACATTTGATTGGTGTGCTCTAAAGAGGAATCTTTTAACTTTAAGAGAAATTTGGTTGTTCGTTTCTTCTTATCTCTTATTTCTTTAAGTGTAATTGTACAATTTTTTATTTTTTAATGATACTTTGCAATTACCCAAATACCACATTTGATCTAAGCAGAGAACCCGAGACTTTCAAATTTCGAAATACCCCATTAGGTTTCTTCTCAATTAACGATGTTTTCCACCTTCCCAATACAAGTAGGAAGATTCACTGCAACATTTGATCAACGTGCTTCATGACAAATGAACAAAGAAAAACAATAAGATAATCCACACCCTTCGGGAGGAACCAACCATTTTCTCAAGTGCTTGTGCTACATTGTCTAAAAAGATTTCTAGAGATGCTAGCACAAGATTAAGCACGAGCTACAGCTCATCTTTGAGATGCTCTCGCTCCTGCACTACACCGGCATCCTCTGCTTTGTTCTTGTCACGATGGAGCATTTCAATAACTTCTTCTAGAGGAGGATCCCCAGGCCTTCGGAAAACTCGGTCTCCTATCTTGATCTCGTAGGCGTCAGGCTGGCTCAACACGAAGTCTTTCAACTGTAAAAAAGAGAAGGATTTCTGTGAGAATGCAATGCAGTGCTATTGAGGACTCCTGAGAGACTCAAGGACCTCAATGGGTACCTCTGTTGTGTCTTTTCCCCTTTCCATGGTGAACATGAGCGTGTTCCCATCAACAGCCATGAACTTGGCTTCAATAGACCCTGTTTTAAGAACCTTCGTCCATTTCATAGCAGTCTCAGCCACCATCTCCTGAAAATTTCCAGGTTGCAGGTCAATATATCTTCTCAAGGTCTTTTTCTTCTTCTTCTTCTTCTTAATAAATCAAGAAATCTGACAGAACTCCAATCGAAATATGCTCAGTGGAGGAGGACAACACTGAGTGTATTTTAAATAATTCAAGCACCCATAAATCTCGAACTGCTTTATAGTGAGTGTAAGTGGCAAAATTCTTATCCTAATTCTATCATACGTGAAAACCCTGTAAACCTAATCACTTTCCAGATCACAGTTACTCAACTTTATCACCAAATTGTCGATCGGATCGGTGAAATTTTCGCCAAAAACAAATCAGCTATGGTTAGAGAGCAAAAACCCTTTATAGATCAAAACCGAAACCAGAGGGCCAGCTGAGATTGGACATTGGAGGTCCCTACCCAACACCGTATCCTTAGCCCCAAAAATTAACTAAAAAAAATAAGAGGAAAACATGAAAGAGGAAACGAGGGGTTGGGGAGCAGGAGGAATTCAGTTACCGCCGAACGGCGAACGCCTAATCGGAGCTTAACGAAACCAAACGAAGGTCCGAAATGGTGCTTCATCATTTCCTCCTGAATCTGAGATAGTTCCATCCCGGATAAATCCATGGGAGGAGGATCGAACTCTTGGGAAGGGCTCGATTTTTTGCCCCATTCCTTCCAGGCCTCATCTTCTTCGTCGTCAATCACGTCGTCCAGCTCGTCCGGGATATGAACCCTTTTCCCCCCATCTGCAAGTCTAACAATTACACCATTCTCTGCAACAATTAAGACGAGGATAAGAAAGGCATATACAAGAAAGGAATTTGAGAAGAAAAAGCTGCTCCGCGTTCTCATAATTTCCACTATCATCAAAGTCGGACTTCAGAGTTACAGAGCCTTTGGGTATATAAAGGTTTGGGGAGGACTCGACTGAGGTGGGAAAAAGTGAAATATGCAGTGTTAACCAGCGAACAGCGGCTGAAATCGAAAGATCGACGCGAAAAGCAAAGGCAAAAGGTCTGGAATAAGTGTTTTTTTTCCTTATTCTTATGTGAATCACATGACAGAACCAAAAAAAGAAAAAAAGATTCAAGTTACAAGCTTGCATTTAAAATCAACTTTTGTACTTTTGCATCGAAGATTTCAAGCAAAAGAAAGAAAATTAGATTAAGTTACAAGTTTTTTTTTTCTTTTTGTAATGGATTAAGTTACAAGTTCAGTTTGAGAATATTTGCACTGTACATTCTTCCCAAATTGTGCCAGACTCTTTGTTTATTTGCGAATTGCGGTGTAAATTTGGATCGGATATAAATTTTGCATTCATTTATTTGTAGTTATGATTTGCATTCTTATTTGATACAAAATTTGTATTTTTTGTCTTATTTACAAAGGAATGGCAATAGGGCAGGCTCAGGGTGGGGATCATATTCCCCATCCCCGACTCTGATTTTAGAATAAATCTCTGTCCCTAATTTCAATCCCCGTCAGAGATAAAAGTTGTCCTCCACCCTCGACCTCTGGCAGGATAGGTTCCCTGTGGGACTTGAATCCCTGAAATTTTTTTAGTTAACAATCTTTTTTGAAAAATAGATTTACTTAAAATAAATAAAAAATTAAAATATAAATAATATTTTAAAAATAATTTTCTATATATAATGTATTTAATATATATAATCAAGATTGAGGTGGGGTGGAGACCTCATTCCCCATCCCGACCCCAACCCCGATCGGGGATCCCTATTAATCCCCGTCTCTATTCCTACCCCACCACTAACCCAATGGGGTCAGAAAAGTCAGGTATCCATCATTGGGAATGGAGAAAATTGCCATCCCTAATTTACACTTATTGGCAGAACAAATTTTGCATCAATCTTTAGAATGCAAAAATTGTATTGCCTTCTTTCATATATCAATTTCCTCTCATATAAAGTGGGGATTACGTCATCTTACTTCCTAATCCTACCTCACTCAAAACAAATGACCCTCCTATCTCCATTTCATATAAAGTGGGACCACTTCAATTTACCCTTATTTTACTTCTCAAGAATAAAACAAAAGTAAACTGAAATTTACATTTTACGTATTTGCACTCCCATGCATTTATACCAGTATAAATGAAATTTGCTCTTGCGAACAGACTGAGCCTTTATGGAATTGCTTTGAGATAAGTGGTTAACAAGTGATTTGAGTAACTTTTTGGTTTTAGTAAATCCAAACGCATGTAAAGAATGGGTGTTCCCGTGACAATACATGGATATTGTTGGTTACATCTTACATGATAAGACTACAACTTGGGTTGGGCTGATCTGAGTGGAAGGCCCAACTTTAAAAGTGAAAATCTGACCTTACAGGTCAAAGCCCAGTCCAACCTAAATCCAAACACTTCCATACCTGTTCAACAGGCATGTATGTTTTGGACTGTAAATATATTAGATCATGTTTAAAGCCTTCTCATATGAGTATTTAACGCTATATCTACAATTTGCATCATAACATGTGAATGAAGTCAGACCATAATTGGGTTGATCCAAAGTTGGGCCTACATCGCTTGGTTTGGGTTAAGTTAGCCCATGTTGTTAGTCTCGGGCCTAATTTAAAAGCTCAAGTTGGATTTGGACCCGGCAGGCATGGGTTGAGCCCATCTAAGTTAGGATCCTTGTCTACAAGATTCAATTTCCAACTCGGAAAACAAAATAAAGAAAATTGAATCAAGGTCAGCTTGGAGCCAACTTGGATGCCAAGTTGGCTCCAAGCCTCCAGTTGAATGAATAAACGACGATTTTTATTTTCAAAAGAAAATTAAGAAAAAAAAAAAAACAAATAACTAAGAAGTGACCCTCAAGAACTGAGGAGAGAGAAAGAGCTGAAGTATGGGAGTAAGGATTATTGAGTCATAGAAATGACTAGTAGAAGGTGGAGTCTCATGTGGATAGCTCTGAAACTTGGGTCCGGTTAGCCCAAACCAAGCTTGAAAAATAGGGTTGGGTTGGGTTGAACTTTGGGTTAGGATTAGGATTGAAATGGACCCAACTTAATTTTGGGTTGGGTTATGATTGAGGCCTTGACCAATTTAGACCAACCCAAATCTCATTTAATTTCATATTTGTATGTATAAATATTATCTAAATATATATATAAATATATATTCATGTATATTGTATATCAACAATTTTAAGTTTAAAGATAATTTTTTTAACATATTAACTTTGTTCTTTTTACGCATAATAATGCTAAAATTAAATTAACAAACCCTTTTAACTCTAGGAATTGTACATTTAGTAAAAGGAATTAAAAAAAGGTTGGATCAACCCAAGACCAACCCGAACCCAACCCAAAGTTATGATTGGGGTTGGTGGTTCAACAACTCGGGTTAGGTTAGGGTTGACCTGAACCCGACGTAACCCTGCCCAACTTGCAATCCCTTGATATAGATTGGCCTTATCCGATGTTGTCCCATCTGTGGATTTGGTGCTCTGGTCATCATTTGGTGAACGTTACCAAACAATCTGGGAATCTTTCACATGGTAAAAGCATTTGGGAGGTTAAAAGGAGTTTCCATATTCCTCTCCCCACCCTCTATTCACAAAAAAAAAAAAAAAAATGTATATAAAAAAATAACCCCAAAGACTTATTTTCCTCATTAGTTAAGAGGCTCATAAGCCAGGTTATTTCCATCAACGTTCAAAGCATTGATACGTATCGGTTTTGACCGGTTCAGAGGGTGGATGAACATTAAATCAACCCCTTTAAACTGGATTTGAACCTTGATTCTGATTCTCATGTTTTTGCTAATAATATCGTGGAATAAAGACTATGGAGTATGGAATAAAGGACATCTGTGGTGAGCTGTGATTAGTGTGATATGTCATATTCTCCCACTGAATAAAGAAGAAACAAAGAAAAAAAAAAAAAAAAGGAGAAATGATGCTTACTCCTCTTACCAACTGTTTGAATGCAAAAGGATTATCCTGCCTCTCTCTCTCTCTCTCTCATCGGCACCCTACAACACATTCCGACCGTATATTAAGAACATCTCGCAATGCATGCTGACATATGCATATAAGGCGTGCTTTATGGAGCACCAATCCCCATCTCTAACCCAATGGGGCCGGGGAAGTCGGGTACCCATCGGCCTCTCTCTCGTTTCCTTGGAGAAGAAGAGATGACTAATGAGATTAAAGAAGCCAGGCCCTCTAGAATCCATGAAGATGAATGAGGAAATTATTTCCATCATCAGCCATCCACAGCATGATTGTTCTGGCAGCTTTAAGAAATCCACATAAAAGGAAAAAAAAAAAAAAGCAACAGAGAAGCCTTAAACAAAGAATTCACCTTTCTCTTTTCATTTTCACATCACATAATCCTTCTCAGCATCAGCATGAACAGCAAGAATTAACCGAATAACATCAAAAAATTATCAAGGGTACCTTCTTGATCTATTTCCATTAAATCAGTAACTTTTCTAAATATTCTCTCTCTGATGATCCTAAAGCGATCGATGCGTCAGTTGAATATTCAGTTGGGATGAGGGTGATCGTTGAGAAAACAACTCAACCAGAAAGCCACGGGATGATAAACGTAGGGAAAGGCAATTAAAATCTTTGATGGTTTTTACAGGTTTAGTAACTAGAAATTAGGTTTTCGTTCAAAAGATTGCCCCAACTTTTCCTTCATATCCAACCCAAAGGAATTCTTCATCAAACTAGAATTGACGATAATGGCGTGGAAATAGGATCATTTTTGTAAGGAAAAGAATTCTCTACACACGAATATGTCCAACCGGATTTTCCTTTCTGTTGGTTCTTTCTTTTTAACACTGGGCGGCCACTTTGGTCACTTTCATGACAAAAAAGGAGCAAACAGATCATGTGTCATAACTCAGAAGTCTTTAGCAGAGATGCCAGTTCATGATTCACCTGTACAGTTCGGTTTAATTTAATGGAGTGCTGACTGTTTTCTTTTTTTAGGGCTGCAAACAGATTGAACCGGATATAGACAAATTGTTTAAATTCGAATTCAGATCGGATCATTTCTTTTGGATGTTCAACTGATTTTGAATGAATTTGGATTATAATCGGATATTAAATAATATAAATAAATTAGACAAAAATTATCAAAATATTATATATTATTAATAAAATAAATTAAAAATGATTAATGCTATATTTTATAAACAAAATAGATTGAAAATTACTTGTGTAAAACTTGAATCTATGACAATTTAGTGGAAAAGTAGAAAATGAATATAAATTTTAAATATATATGAGCGCGCGCGCGCACACACATATATATATATATAATAGAAGAGGCAGAATTAAGACAAAAATATGCATTTTATAAACGGTCAAACATCCCCGATAGTTTAATGGATTTACTAAAACCTATAATATAGTTTGTGTTTTACTAAAACACCCCTATAGTTCGCAACCAATTTACTTAGATCAACCTTCTATTAGATTGAAGTGGGGAATATAACCATGGTTTTCAAAACCAGATCAGACCAAATTGTCAAACCGGAAAATCGGGAACCGGTCAAATGATTGGTTCCGTTTTGCCCCCGAACCGTTATTTCTCCAAAAAAAACGTTGATTTGGTTAGCAAGCTATTGACCCAGGTGGTTGAACCATTTGAACCGTTTAACGGTTTGGCCGGTTTTTATTTTTTTGTCAAAACGGGCCGTTTATTTGGTTCGAATGGTTGGACCATTTGAACTGGGAACCGGAACCATGACCGGTTCGTTGTCCGATTTGGTTTTAAAAACCTTGAAAATAACAGTTTTGACCTTAGCATCTGTTGAGACCAATTTGATCTACAGAAAAATATAATTGAAAATGTCATTCTTGCCCCTAGTTTACATGGACAACAATTCTCTATTTGAAGAAGGAAGATATGTTGCTTCAAACTAATAATCGGAGATGCCTGCTCTCTTCTTCTTCATTCTTTTAAAATGATCCATTGGTTCATTTTAAAGGTTTGATATGAAGTGCTAGGGGTACTTTCAAAATAAAATACCATAAGCCCATGCCTTGACCATTTCCCACTCATATAAACAATCAAGTCACCATTTTTAGGCAACAATATAAAAGAATCTTGGCATAAGGTCGATTAAATAAACCAGTTGCAAACTATAGGAGTTTTAGTAAAACGTAAATTATAGGGTAGGTTTAAGTAAATACGTGAAACTATAATAGATGTTTTAAAATTGACCCCTTTATCAAAGTACCTTTATTGACATAAGCATTCTCAATATCTCATTTGTAAAAACAAAATACAATTTTACCATCTCAAATATAATTTTTATTTTATTTTCTTCTAATCCATTTTCACACATGTGTGACAACATGGTTGTCATCGAAGGCTTATGTGGTTGTTACCAACATAGGATTCTTAATCCATATTGGACACAACAAAAAGCTTATACCAAAATTATAAAAACCCTCGCCATGTCACTCTCACTCTCACTCACTTATTCTCTCTCTCTCTCTCCCACTTCCTCTCTTGTTCTTTTTTTTTTTTTTCTTACACACTTATATGGTATTAATTAGATTGTATAAAAGTAACATGAGACCAACTTGGTATGGTTCAAAAATTAGTATACCTATTTGATAAAAATTCACAAGAAACTCTTGGCTATGGAATTTACATCAAGTAGAGAATGATAGAGATTGGGGGAGAATGAGATATTGATCGAGAGGGAGAATGAGGGAGAAGAATGAGAGAGATTGAGGGAGAATGATAGAGAGAGAGGTTTTGATTTAGCTACAGACCAAAGCTAGAAGAATGGAAGAGACAGAGGAAGCAAGAGAACGAGAGATGACTATGTGAGAGAGAGAGAAGGGAGGGAGATCGAGAGACAGAGGGAGTGGGAGAGAAACTAAAAACCTATTTTCAGTATAGGCTTTTTTGTTGTGTCCAACATGGACTACGAGTCCCATGTTGGCAACAACCAAATAAACCTCCGATGACATGGCGGGGGTTTTTATAATTTGAAATTGTAGAGCCAGTTGTTAGAGTTTTGTTGGTTTCTGGACCAACCTGCAACCTAATTTTAAGTGTACAACCGATTTTAACTATAATTTTTCTTTTAAATTATATATTTCATTTACATTATATAAAATGTCTTTTACTTATCACACTTAATTTTTGTTTGTCTATGGTATCATTTGACTCAATACACTAACCCACCATCTAAAAAGAAAAATAGTTTGATTTCTAGGTTGACATTAAATTTTTGTATTACATTTCTATCATTGATAAAATTAATTCTTATGTATAAACTTATTTTTATTCAATATAATGAATGCATAATATTAGAGGTGTACCCAATATTTTATTTTTTATAAATATATAACCTTAGATATGTGCCCAAAATTTTCTTTATCTTTTTTTCTTGTGATTCTTTGTATTTTTATTATTAAAAATTTTATTATTTTATTATGACATCATTTCATTTATAGGCAGATTTTAAATTTGGCATTCCATTTTTATCATTAACAAAAATACTTCTTACATTTCCTAGTTATTTATTTTAATTTTTTATTATTTAATTATGACTTATTTATTAATCCATTTGACCCCAAATGGTTGAATTGCTTGCCCACCACCGGGAGGGAAGAAAATGGTTTTGTTTTCAAAATATTTATTTTATACTATTAAAATTAATATTGTGGATTTAATTACAAGAATTTAATGATGAGAAAAATATATCTTAAATATAGGATTTAATGAGGAGAATAGGAAAACATTTTTATTTCCAATTGATTTTAAATTTTACATTCCATTTTCATCATAAATAAAAACATTTCTTATTTATCATACTTATTATTGTTTAATATGTATGTTAAAAATGTTTCTAATTTTTTTAATTTCTATTTTATTCATTTTATTATTTAATCGTGGCAGCATGGATTGACCCATTTGACCCAAAATGATTTAATTTCTTACCATCACCTAGATGAAAACACTATTTTTGCTAGGTAGACTTTAAAAATATAAGCTTTTATGTTATTAGAATTATTAATTATTAATTACGGATTTAATTAATAGAGCTTAATGATGAGAAGAAACAAAAATGACTTAAATGTATGCTTCAATGAACATGAATGCAAGCTAATAACTTAAGGCTATGTTTGGTTTGAAGGAAAATGCAGGGAAAGGAAGGGAAAGGTAGGGAAACCTTTACACACCTTGTATAGGTTCCCTTGTCTTTCCCTTCCTTTCCCTACCTTTTCATTCAAATCAAACATAGCCTAGATGTTAGATTTAATGAGAGGGAATTGAATGCATTGAATATCTTAAAATTACATCTTTTAAGCTCATTTAATATCAAGAACTGATTATCCTATTTTCCCTTATTTTTTATCAATAAATTTAAATATAGAGGGGTAAATTTTGTCCTTTGAAAATTCCAGAAATATTCTTGAAGTCATTCATGCTTTTTAAAGTAGTATAGATTACCACTTGAGCTCCCAAAACTTAATTGAAAGAGATCACATATTTTCTTTGAAGCACTACATTCAAGAAAAACATGATTGGCATTTGCTTCCCTACCACATTTACAACAACCCACATCAATCTTGAATCCTCTTTTTCTTGGAGTATCTTTCACAAGCAGTCTAATATTAAGCAACAAAGACATGAATACTTTTATTTTCGATAGGGTTTTAAGGCTCTAAACAGTTGAAACCAAACTTTCTAAATGTGAACTCGAAGACTCCTCTTCACATTTAAGTTTGTATGCTGATTTCATGGTGAACAAGCCCTTTGGATTCAACCCCAAAATCAATGTATCTTCTCTAGGGCTTAAGGGATTAAAAATTGCTTTAATTTTATTCTAAATATTATGAGGGACACAATTTCTAATTTGGGATTCCTTCCAAACACCTTTATCTTTATCGATGAAATCACATACCATCTCATTTTCATTGAAGCGTTGTGTAGGGGTTAAAGCCTTAACCAGAGAATTCTCTCAAAACCAATTGTCATTCCAAAATTTAATAGATTTTCCATTACCAACTTCCCATCTAAGGACTTTCCTTAAGAGGCCCCTAGTACTGGAGATGCCTCTCTAAGCCCACGACTCTCTTTTCCTCTTTCTTGTCTCCCACAAGTTCTCCTTGTTGAGGTATTTACCCTTCACCACTTTAACCCACAAATTATCCTCCTCTTTGAGAATCTTTCATCCTAGTTTTGTTAGGCTTGCTTCATTTACCCTTCACCACTTTAAAGCTTCAGCACACAAAATAAAAATGTAGGGAGAAAGAGGGTCTCCTTGTCTTATCTCTCTGGATGGTTTGAATTCATTGAACAGAGACCTATTAATAAGGATTTGAAAGAAAACAATTATAATGCATTCCATTACCCATCCAATCCACTTGTCATGAAAATCAAATTTCCTCAGCACCTCCTCAATAAAATTCCATTCCAGCCTATCATAAGCTTTCTCTATATCAATTTTGCAAGCCATAAAACCCTTTTTACTCTTCTTTTTTTCTCATAAAGTGAAACATCTCATGACTAATCAAAATATTGTCATTAATTTGTTTATTTGGAACGAAGAAATAATTTCATTAAGGAAATGTTTAATCCTATTTACAAGGATTTTTGAGATCACCTTGTAGATAACATTACACAACTGATGGGCTTGTAATTATTCACTATTTCTGGATTCTCAATTTTAGGGATTAAGGAAATGAAAGTCCTGTTTAGAATTGGACATTTTTTTCCTGTGTAAAAGAAAGTTCTTACAGTTCCACAAAAATCATCTTTTACCACATCCCAAAATTTCTTAAAGAATAGAACATTAAGACCATCAAAACTAGGCAAATTTGATACCATTCTAACTATGTCCCCACCACCCATTAGATTTTCTTACACGAAAAAACAAAACACCCATAGATTTGGTGATGTATTGACGGATAGGCCCATTGCCAACAGTATGAGCAACCTATTAACTCTATGGGTGCTCAATTAGTTCTCAATAACTCTATCCCCATTTTTAACTCTAAACTCCACTCTCCCAATTAACCAAACCCTATATTCAATGGTTAACACCATTTAAATTAATTTTTGTTTTATAATTCAAATCAGACTGATTGAGCTAGACCACGACAAACTCTAAGGAGGTATTAATGAAAATACATTGCTAGGACCACAGTCCAGTTGCAGACACCCAACCAATCACCAAGGTGCTGACACTCCGGAGAGTGGATTGGGGGGAGACTGCTGAGTACTGACTACCACCCCCTTTGTGGCTTTGTCTGTTTACTCTGTTACATTAATTACATTGGAGCTGGTTCAATATACTGTTTACATCCCAACCCCCAACTCTTACGTCTTACGTAGACCAGAGCAACCTGGGCGTGTTTTAGCTGGGGTCGGTCCTGAAAGCTAACGTAAGCAGTTTCACGCTTATTAAGGACAACAAATTTCTTGTCAATTGTCATTGTCGTCGTCGTCGTCAACGCATACATAGGTGCTTGCTATCGTGCGCCCACGACAGATCTAAAGAAGAGAAATCAAATTTGAAATGCCATACATAACATAACAATGAATGAGAACCGGAAAAGATCATTCAAGCAAAAAAAAGAGGGTAAATATCATTGATTTATTTTTCTAGACGAGACGAGAGGATTTATCATGGGGTTTATGTATGATGATGGATGGATCATGGATCGTAACAAACTTACAAACAACGAGTACGAGACGGCCAAATATGAAATATCAATCAGTCAACCACCAGTCCACCGTTTTCCGCTCAACTCTCCCAGTCCCTCTCTCTTATCTTTTACTTTCCTCTGCAAACTGCAACTACTAGTCTAGAATTCATCACCTCCATAGTCATACGCCAAGTCATCCTCAACTTTCTCTGCTACGTCCTCGGCGATCTTATCCTCCACATAATCAACGCCCTCCGCCAAGGCCAACCCACCCAGCACCCCTGCTACCGCACCCACGGCCAACCCTGTTCCCATCCCGTACTTACTCTTCTTCTTCTCTTCACCATACGGCGGCTGCCCGTATGGAGCAGGTGGAGCGGCACCATATGAGTACCCAGCGTCCGCCGGTGGGGCCGCTGAGTACGGCGGAGGAGGAGCAGCATACGGGTACCCGTAAGGTGGCGGGGCAGAGTAAGGGTAGTCCTTAGAAGTAGCAGGTGGTGGTGGCGGTGGGACACCATAGGGTGGAGCGTAGTACGGATCCGGTGCACGATAGCGGGGCTCGCGGACCGTTATCTTGGCCTCGATCTTTCCCTGTGGACGACCTGATGGCCGTTTCAGCTGCAACGTACGGTGGGCTCGTTCGCCGAAGCCAACATCATCGACGATCTCCTTGAGCGGAATGCGGGCCGACCCGATTAAGGGTTTGGTGTCATCGGCGGCATTGGCATGGACGACGTCGAGGAAGAGGGTGGAGTCATCGATGGGGGCGACTAAGGGGATGACGAGGGTCTCGTCCCACACGGGGGAGGTGTCGCCGTCGTCGTCGACCTTGGTGGAGTACTTGGACTTGGGTGGATCGACCCAGGCGACGACGTAGGGCTTGAGGGAGCCGTGTCGCCAGTTGACGTTCTTGAGGTCTCTGGCGGAGGAGATGGTCACCTCCACTTGTCGTGGAGGAGCCGACGGAGCGGAGCTGCTGTAATAATAAGACGACGACATCTCCGATAGATACAAACGAAACGACGACGGAATTTGAAGGAACGAAGGGAAAAGAAGCTGCTTGCGTTGTTTGCTGGCGGTTGCAGCCTTGCAGGGTTTATTTATTTATACAAATACGACCACAAGCTGTTAACAGGAACTGAAGGAAGAGAAGAGATGTGTCTGTACCGTTGAACCGACCAAAGACTAATGAAACGAAAGTACCCCTTGCATTCTGAATATAATTACGGGCATCACCCGTGAAGGGTTTCTCTCGTTTGGGTTTGGGGAAGGGGCGTATCCGTAAGACCGTAACCGTAAGTAAGGAAGGGACGTAGTTATCTGGCCCGGTTTCAACGTTGTCGTTTGGGGGTGATTATCTGGGCCGGGTGACAACGTGGACCGGGTTCAGTTAAGTGGGGGAGAATGTATTAATGTAAGTTATGTAACTCTGTGTCTTGCGAATATTCTACCGTCGCGTACAATTACATACACGGCTTCCTTCCTTTTCTTTCCATCGTGTCTTGTAAGTTGTACACGGATCACACACGGCTTCTTTCCTTTTGTTTGACCCAAAGCCCAAAAGCCCATCTCCCGCCACTGGCCCACTACTCTTGGGTTTAGGATAAATTCGTAGATGTATCCGATAAAATGGGAATTGTACCGAGAATATTAATAAGAGTAATAAAATCTGGTTGACACTCCACTCCACCACTGACTACTATACACGAAGAGAGGCATGGAATTTTACAGTATGACTAGAGCTAGAGGATAGAAATGGGCCTACGCCTACTTGCTGTGACTATGTCAATCACCTGCTAACAAAATATGTTCCAACGCCCTGCCAAAATGATCAGATACCATACATTTTATATATGATCATCGGTCTCTCCTAGACTCCTATTCCTATCATCTATTCTTCACCGCCATTCCATTGTCTCCCGTGGAATCAGAGACTAGAGACTTAGAGAGCTTCCTTCCCTCAACAAATTATCCCGTTTTTCACCACGTGGTAAGATGATAACCACTGATTGAAAAAAAAAAAAAATTGGGATAAGTAGACTGTACTAGGTCACGATTTTAATATTTTATTTATTAATCTTTGTTATAAAATAGAGTTTACTGGGTCACGATTCATCATGGTTGGTCCAGAGTCCAGTTATCGAGAATAGTAACTGATTGGAAATCATGCTTATGGCTTTATGCTGAACAGGTTGAATATGATTTGGGCTCAAATTTGGCCCATGTGTAGAGAGGATGATTAATGAAATAGCCCCTTTTTGGGACCAAAAGTGGCATCTGCAACGGCTGAACTGAATGAAAGAAAAGCAATTGAGAAAAATAACAGAAGTAACTGGCCCATTAAATTGATGAATCCGTCTTCAATTGTCCAACTCCAAGAAATTCAGGTCCACGCCTATGGCGGATGGTTGTGCTTTGGACTAAATTTAAGGCTCAGTTTGTGAAGAGTCAATAGTACAAAACATTTGCAGTAGTGTACATATTTGTATTTGTACTCTTCCCTAATTGAGCGTAAGGATGATCTAGATGAGCTTTAGTCAAGTTGAAGCAGAGTTACATGTGCCACCAGACGATAGAAAGGTTCAGAAAGTGCTTTGTGATGATGATGGACCCATATAGTTAGGATAGGACTTAGATGATGATGAAACAAGAACGGTTTGAAAAGTGCTTGGGTGGGGTAGATAAAGAGTTGAAGATATGCATCTCGTTGAAGATGTGGTTGCTGTAATTGGAGATGGAGAGAAATGCCCCAAGCATGGTTTTAAAAACCAGATCAGACCAGATGGTTGGACCGGTTGACCCATGAACTGGTTAAGTAACAGTTCCATTTCACCTTAAAACCGCTTTTGGGCAAAAAATTATTGATTTGGTCAGCGACCGGCTGATCCGAGCAGTCGGGCCATCGACCCATCAACCTGGACGGTCAAACCATTTGGCCCGAAAACTGGTGGCCAAAACGGTTTCGTGTCCAATCCAATTTTTAAAACCTTGGTCCCAAGCATCATTGGATACTGGAGAGGTTTCACCAACCCCCCACCAGATGGATCCCATGGGCCTTGTCTAACATCTCTTTGTAGGAATGGCAACATGGCGAATTCAGGGCAGGGTTCATATTCCACACCCCCATCCCCAATTCTGAAATTAACCCCCCATCCCCGTCCTCGATCTCCACCGGAGATAAAATTTGTTCTCTATCGCCGATCCCCGACAGGGATGGATTCCCCGTGGGAACCCAAATCCACAAAATTTTTTTTAGATAATAATATTTAAAAAATAAAATAAATTTACTTAAAACAAATAAAAATTTTAAATTATAAATAATGTTTTAAATATGTTATATATATATAATCGGGGTCAAGACGGGGTCAGGAAAGTCAGATCCCCATCGGGGATGGAGAAAATATAGAGTAGTCATTCGTCCTCAGATGTAACTAAATCCTTAAAAAATATGTGGACAACTATGTAATATTATATATACAAAGTACAAAATTTTATAAAAGCATTAGGCTCCAAACGACTCAAACCCATTACAAACCAAAATCTGGATAAAATCTGCAAAAGCAAACCCATCTACAATCCGTTTTGTGCAGTGTACCATAACGCACAAGCCAGAACATACGTAGTTCCAATCTGACAGTTTCTGTCTTTCAAAAAAAAAAAAAACATATATATGACAGTTTCTGTTACAACACATTTATGCATCTATGTTGATCAACCCAGTCTCAAGATACGTCTTCCCGAATATGTGTATCTCTACATGACAATATTTGGCAACACATTTATGCAGCTAAGCTTTTAGATGCAATCTCAAACACGTTCTCTGACAGTCCATTGGTTGACATTATCATCTCCAGCTGTGCCTGTATATACAAAATAATTTTTTTTCCTTTTTATCAGTGTAAATATATTAAAAACCTATTCAAAATAATGATTTTCCTTCTTAGTATTAATGGACAAGTAATATCAGGCCTCTGGAATGTAAGAATGTAAGAATGCTTTGCATTATATGTGATACAATCAAGCAAAACACGGCAAAAGAGAAGAAGACGGACAAGGAAATGTTCAGTTACCTTGGCAAGACTTTGCCTAGTCTGATCATAACGCCTCCATCTTGAGAAGGCCGACACCATGCGGGATGCCACCTGCAATCCATGCAACCCAGGGGAGACAGTTAATTAAAGTTGCATTGGATTAAAACATCAAGAGGCATTTTAACTGAACATACCCGCGGGTTTATTTTGTCTAGCTGCACTACAATTTCTCCCATGAATTTGTAGCCAGAGCCATCCTTTGCATGGAAATTCACAGGCGATCCACAGAATCCTCCAATGAGAGAGTACACCTGATACACAAAGAATACCAGCTAAATTGTAACTCGTACAAATCCAACTGAAAGTAGGTAGGTAGGTAAAGAGAGAGAGAGAGAGAGGTCACTTTGTTTGGATTGCGCATGTCAAAGGCAGGATGTTTCAAGAGTTTCCCAACATTCTCAACATTTCCAGGAATGTCTGACATGGCTTGAAGAGCAAACCATTTGTTCACAACCTGATGATAGATAACAGAGAATGTAATGAACATTGTACAAAGTCTGAAACACCACTATGAGAAAAGGACAACACTACCAGAAAATAGAATTCGTTCTTCAACTTGATGGCAAACAATAAAAACATTACAATGGTTATATGTTTTAGGAGCATATACTTGAAGATCAGTATCCAAGATTTGGCAGTGGTTGAAGTACCATTTGTTAAGGGAATTGTGAAATCATACTACACAATCAAACAACGTAACACGATTGATGTGTTCTTTGCCATTTGCTAAGACCCCAAGATTGACATTTTGAAGCATTTGGCATTTGTGACCATGAGGCATCCAAAAAATAAATGTCCACATGTGGGTTTTAGAAGAAAAATTACAAGAATGCAATATAACACATTACGTACATGATTGATGTGTTCTTTGCCTCTGCTAAGACCCCAAGATTGACATTTTGAAGCATTTGTGGCTATGAAGCGTCCAAAAAATAAAGGCCCAACATGTGGATTTTAGAACAAAATTTACAAACATACCAAATCAGTTTTATGTTTGTGTATTAGTTATTTCAAGTCTTTCTTTTAATGACAAAATCGTTCATATGCATTTTTCAGGAATCAAGGCGTTAGAAAATCTAAAAATAGGATGAACAAATGCTCCACAGAAGGGGAAAAAAACGCCACTTTGTTCTTGTGAGGCTCACCAAAAAGTCATCCTGCCACTTAGAATAGAAGTCACCCAGAACCTCCTCTCGGGTTTTACCAGGATTCTGTGCTATGGCTGCCAGAGCTGCAAACTGTTCAGTCAGGTTCGTAGCAGATTTATACTCGTGCAATGCAAGCTCAGTGAATTCTGTATCTTCAAGAGAAGCAAGATAGGCTATACACAAAGCCAAAAACGAGGAAAAAAAATCAGTAAAAATCAATTAACTTCAGTGCAATGTTATAGATTCATCTTGGACAATTATGTTGTGCAGAGAGCCGTACCAAGGGCAACATTTTTCAAAGCACGCCTGGCCATATTAGGATGGTTAAACACATAAGATTCCGAGCTTCTGTTGTTTTGGACCTGTTGAACACATATTACCAGTTAAGGTTCTGTAAAGGTGATAAAACTGTGGGGGCACAAAAGAAAAAGAGGATTTTTCATTTTGCCATAACCCAATTTAGCTAATGACTTACTGTGCTGAGCAATTCTGCTTTCAGTTCTGACGCAAGCTGCTTCCTGATGAAAGATCGAACTGCATGTACAGCATCGGGATCTGCAACCTCCATCATATCCATGATTTCCCCTTCACCAGGCAAAGTTATTGCCTTGGCGATGAATTCCTAGAAAAAGGAAAACTACTAATTAGTAAACCCATAAAATATTCCATTGAAAATTTCCAAATCCTGACAGGAAAGCTGTAACATTTTTATTTCTTACCTTATCCAAGCTCAAATCACAAAGTATGCTTTTGATACCGTGCACAAACTTTGGATTCAGAACCAATGATTTGTTTTGCTGGTAATCAGCAACTAAGCTGAGCATCAGCTTCCTTGCCAATACCTGCCCTGCTTCCCAACTGAATGAGGAGATTAGCACTCATTAGACGACCTTGTCAATAGAAATGAGAAACAGTTTGATCCCTGAATCAAAAACTAGGGGAAAAGATTATATCTAGGAAAAACCAACCGATTAAACTCATCCGAATCATGGGCAAGTAGGAAGAATAGATCGCTGTCAGTGAGATCTGATTCCAGACGGACAGGAGCACTATAACCACGCAAGAGAGATGGTATTGGTCGCTCGGATATATCAGAGAACACAAATTCTTCTTCCTTCTGCTTATTACCAATAAATAAGTTCAATTAATGGCATGCACAGGTTCAATTAAAATAGAAGAAACTACTCGTATATTTAACCATGCTTATCAATAAGGAAATTGGAAGCAATGTTGGCCATGTCCAAAAATATTTCTATTAATAATAGTAAATTGCATTGGTGAAAAAATGAAGAGAGAAGGTAGGTACAACCCTTCAGTCAAAAGATAGAGAGACAAGGAAATGGCTTGCATCTATTGCAATTATACGACCATGTTTGGTATACGTACAGCTTATTTAGTCATATTGTTCATCTATGAATATAGCAGCATTTCACATGTTTACAGCACTGCCATTTCACATCTAGTAAGTACTTCAAACGCATGCATATTTCAAACATGTAAGACATTGATAGAAGGTACTTGTTAGAGTTGGCAGTCAAGAGGGTAGTTTAGTCTTTTTGCGATGTTATTAGAGTTAAATTGTCTCTTTGATCTAGATGTGATTCAGACCAATAAAATTAGCAGAAATATTTAGATTAGAGCAGAAAGGAGGGAAGAAGAGGAAGACAGCAAGAAGAAGAAGGAAAAATGGAAGACAGAAAGAAAGAAAGGAAGACATCAAGAAGAAGAAGAAGAAGAAGAAGAAGAAGAGGAAGATAGAAAGAAAGGAGTTTGATAATCTCCTCTTTCCCCTACTCTAATCTTTTTATTAAACTTACTTAAGTTACATAATTTACAAGGAGGCCCTTAAGTGGGCAACCACATCAGCAATACACTTAAAAAACAAAACTGAAGCTAAAGGCCCATAAAGAAAGAAGGCCCAATAAGAAAACATAACAAGAAGGAACTAATAAGAATGACACTAAAGGACTAGGGCCCATTCGGCCCAATCTGTCTACACTCCCCCTCAAGCTGAGCATAGATATCAATCATGCCCAGCTTGCTTATATAGTAAACCAACTTTCCTTTAGGAACACCTTTTGTCAAAACATCAGCCAATTGTTCTTCAGAAGCAACAAATGGTAGGCAGACTTCTCCTAAGGCAACTCTCTCTTATATAAAATGCATGTCAACTTCAATGTGCTTAGTTCTGTCATGTTGAACAGGATTATGTGCAATGTTGATAGCAGCCTGGTTGTCACAATATAACATCATTGGTTTCTCAGTCTACACCTAGTTCTTCTAAAACTGATCTCAACCACAAAAGTTCAGAAACTCCATGTGCCATTGCCCTGTACTCTGTTTCAGCTGAGGATCTTGCCACTACAGGCTACTTCTTACTCCTCCATGATACAATGTTCCCTGCTACCATAGCACAATAACCTGAAGTGAACCTCCTATCATCAATACATCCAGCCTAGTCAGCATTAATGTATGCTTCCAGCTTCATGTGTCCATGCTTAGCAAACAAGACACCTTTCCCTATAGTCCCTTTTAGGTAGCACAAAACCCTCTCAGCAGTTGCTAAATGTGTATCTCTGGGAGAATGCATAAACTGACTAATTACACTAACTGCATAGGAAATATCTGGCCGAGTCATACAAAGGTATAATAACTTCCCAACCAGTCTTTGGAACACTCCCTTACCAGGCAACAATTCACCCTCAGTAGCTGGCAGCTTATGATTTAGGTCTATAGGAGTAGATGCAGGTCGAGCACCCAGTTTACGAGTATCTGCAAGAAGATCAAGAACATACTTCCGTTGAGAAATGAAGAGACCATCCTTAGATCTAGCAACTTCAATTCCCAAGAAATATCTGAGTTCCCCCAAGTCTTTAATTTCAAACTCAGTGTTAAGAAAACTTTTGAGATGAACAACTTCATGGGTGTCATTGCCAGTAACCACAATATCATCAACATAGACAATCAGAAGGAACAAACAATGTATGATCCGACTAAGTCTGTGTGTACCCAAAAGCAACAAGAGCAGCCCGAAATCTATCAAACCAGGATCGAGGAGAATGCTTAAGGCCATAAAGGGACTTCTTCATGTAGGTCTCCATTCAAGAAAGCATTCTTTACATCAAACTGATGAAGAGGCCAATCAAAAGCAGTAGCTAAAGAGAGTAAAACTTGAACTGAAGTCATCTTAGCTACTGGGGCAAAAGTTTCCAGGTAGTAAATACCATACATCTGAGTATACCCTTTAGCAACCAAACAGGCCTTATATCTCTCAACAGTGCCATCAGAATGATACTTAATAGCGAACACCCACTTACAGCCAATCAGTTCCTTTCCCTCAAGCAAATCCACAATTTCCCAGGTATTGTTCTTATGCAAAGCATCTAGTTCAGTCATCATAGCATCCCTCCATTCTGGTTTGGACAAGGCTTCTAGGACAAATCTGGGAGTCACATGTGTGGAAATAGAGTCAAGGAAGGAATAGTAGGAAGGGGAAAGAAGGTTGTGGGACAGGTGTTTGGAAATGCAATGAGCTATACATTTCCGTTTGCCTTTGTGAAGGGCAATAGGGAGATCAAGGTCAGGGAAGGTATCCAAAGTGGTAGAAGAGGGCTGACCTATTACCCCAGTAGTGATGGGAGGAGCAAGAGGCACATCTGAAGGCATGGAAACAACTTGCATGTCTCTGAGTCTTTGTCTCTGGTACCACCTTTGGATAATAGGATGAGAAGGAAATGTGGGAGGATGAGCAGGAGGAAAGGGGGAGCAGGAACATGAGAAGAAGAGTCAATAGAGGACTCAATTGGAGGAGATTTCATAGAAGATTCAATGGAAATTGGAAGAGGAACAGATGGTGACAATGCAAACAACTCCTTTGAATGCTCTCCCTCAGGAGTACCAAAGAAAGGAACAGACTCTGCAAATGTGACATCTCTGGAAACCAAGCGAGTGCCACGAACTGGACCAAAACAACAATATCCCTTCTATGTGAAGTCATATCCCAAAAAGACACACTTGTGTGCTTTAGGCTCAAACTTATGTCTTTGATGATTGTGAACATGAACATAGCAAGTGCACCCAAACACTCTGAGAGGAAGAGAGAAGAGATCCTCATTTGGGAAAAGCAAGCTAAAGGGAGTTTTAAACCCCAGAACCCAGGAAGGCATTTGGTTTATCAAGTATGTAGCTGTAAGGACAGCATCCCCCCGAAACATAATAAGAACATGGGAAGCAAAAAGGAGGCTCCTTGCAACCTCAACCACATGTTTGATCTTCCTTTCCGCCACTCCATTTTGTTGAGGAGTGTAGGAACAGGAACTCTGATGAATAACTCCGAAGGTATCAAAGTAGGAGGAAAGACTCTTCTCAAAATATTCCTTTGCATTATCAGATCGGAATATTTGGATCCGAGTGTTAAACTGGGTTATAAGTTTATGAAATTTTTGTACAATATTTTGTACTTCATCCCGAGATTTCATGAGGTAAATCCAGGTGTAATGAGAGAAATCATCAATGAAAAGAATGAAATATTTGTAACCCCCCATAGCAGGTAAATGATATGGCCCCCACACATCAGAGTGCACAATATGGAAAGAAGAAACAGATCTTTTATTACTCACTGAAAAAGATTATCTATAATGTTTTACAAGTTCACATGACTCACAATGAAGACTCGATAGGGATATTCCCTTAAACATTTCTGGAAACAAATGACTCAAAGCAGAAAAAGACAAATGACCAAATCTGAAATGACATATCATGACTCTATCAATTGACTCTGATAAAACAAACTCCAAAGCTATTGCACTAGGTAATCCATAACTTTGATCAAAGACATCTAGCAAGTATATCCCATTCGCCTCATGGCCACTCCCAATCGTCCGCTTCGACTTCAGGTCCTGAAAAACACAATAAGTAGGAAAGAAGGTTATGTTGCAGTTCATTGATTTTGTTAAACTACTAACAGATAAAAGGTTAGTGCTGAGTTTCGGAACATGAAGGACAGAGGATAATACAAGTGAGTCAGAGGCTCTAACATCCCCCTTGCCAGAGATGGGAGCAAGAGACCCATCGGCAAGAGAAATCTTCTCTCTACTCGAGAGGAGCTGGTATGAACAAAAAAGGTTGGGTAAGCTAGTCATATGGTCTGATGCACCAGAAACTATAATCCAAGGAATTCTATAATTACCTGAGGTTGTAGCAAGATTTGCAAAAGCACGAATACCTGAATGGGCAAAGGTGGATGTTCCACAACAGATTTTTCTTCACTTTCAGATACTGTAGCAACATTTGCATTCTTGGGCTTTCCAGACTGACCACCCTTCTTAAAATTGTTGTTGTTCCGAAACCTTTTTGGAAGAAAATCTAGATGAAGTTTCCAACAAGAATCCTTCGTATGTTTTGGCTTCTTGCAATATTCACATATCACCTCTTTTTTCTCATTTACCCCCTTTGGTTTTAATCTAGCATGTGCAAAATGTTCTAGGGGAGGTGGGGTCTGTAGTTGTACCTGTCTCCTGCTCTCTTCACTGCTCACCATAGAGTATGCCTGAGCAAGTGACACTTCATCCTTGGCCAGAATATTTTGCCTTGTAATATCAATTTCAGGATTGAGTCCTGTAAGGAATTCAAACACTCTGTTTCTTTCAACAAATTTTTTGAAATTTTCTACATCTTTGGTGCTTTCCCATATGAATGCTTCTATAACATCTATTTCCTGCTATAGTGACTTCAACATCGAATAGTAGACAGCCACACTCTTCTCCCCCTGTTTTAAATTTTTCACATCATTCTTCAGTTTGTAGGCCCTTGCAACATTTAATTTCTAAGAGTATGTTTCTGTAACACTATCCCAAATCTCCTTGGCTGAAGTCATCCAGATAGTGTTGACTTATGTGTAGTTATCCTGCATCCATTTCTCATATGTAGGATCAGTCTCTTCCGATATCACCATACTACCCATGAGAAACCATAGTTTACCTCTACTACAAACATGGATCTTAATAGATTGTGCCCAAGCAAGGTAATTTGTTCCGTCAAGTTTAATTGTAGTCACTCCTGTCAAAATGGAATCTATGGGACCAACCCCCGACACCGGGATCTGCTTCATCTCACTTCCAGATTGCTCCATCAATCAAACGAAAATCAAAAAACAATGTTTTCAACCTTTATAGACCTAAGGTCAGTCAAACACTCAAAAGTCCCAAAACTAGGGTTTCACCGTACCTGGCCTCCGAGGAAAAAGAAATAAGAGGTTGCCGCTCAAGCCAGAGCAATCCAAGCCACTTCCAACTGCAACTGCCCACTTTTGGAGATAAAAAGGAACCCTCCAAGGCTTGAGTGCCACACCCAAACAGCCTCTTCAACCCGTAACTGGAAACTCTCTAGTCGGCTAGGGTTTTGGGAAAAAATCTGCAGTCCCACTTTCTTGGCAATCTTCGACCACCTTCTGACTCTCCAAACCCTCTACCAACTAGGCAAACAAGATCTCTGATTGATCAGCAATTTATCTCTCCATACACCTTTCGATTAGAAAAAAAGTGTGGGAAAAAAGGGAAAAAAAGGAGAAAGAAAAGGAGGACCTGCTTTGATACCAAGATGTGATTCAAACCAATAAAATTAGCAGAAATATTTAGATTGGAGCAAAAAGAAGGAAGGAAGAAGAGGAAGACAGCAAGAAGAAGGAAAAATAGAGAAGAAAGGAGAAAGAAAGGAGAAAGAAAGGAGGAGTTCGATAATCTCCACTTTCCCCTACTCTAATCTTTTTATTGAACTTACTTAAGTTACATAATTTACAAGGAGGCCCTTAAGTAGGCGTCCACATCAGCAATACACTTAAAAAACAAAACAGAAGCTAAAGGCCCATAAAGAAAGAAGGCCCAATAAGAAAACATAACAAGAATGAACTAATAAGAATGGCACTAAAGGATCAGGGCCCATTTGGCCCAGTCTCTCTACAGATCTTAGTTTAAGTAATGTATCCCATATAGCCTTTGTACACCAAGACACAAAACAAATAAATAAGATGGTGATCGGCTGGGAGAAGGTGATTTTTTTCTCAAGCCATTCTCTCTATTCTCTTCCTCTCCTTTTTTCTTTTTCTCTTGTTTCTGACCTAGAATTGAACCAGTGCTAACCGAACAATTAGCAGTACTAAATCCATGTTGAACAGGCCTTAACAAAAGCTCAACATTTTATGTTAGAAATTACTTTATAGGATTAACATAATATGAATATTAAAAAACATAAAAAAAAAATATTGAAAATATTGGATTAAGAAATATTAAGAATACATCATTATGCCCTGATAATGAAAGGTCAACCAAACAGAAATCAAGAACCATAATGAACCCAAACTCAAACATATCAAGCGGGAACAGGTCACATGGAGAATCAGAGAGAACCTTTTTTACTTGAAGAACTGTAGTGTACACAGGTTCACCATTCTTTTCTATTGATTGTAGCATCCCTTCATGATATACAGAGCTGAGAGGTATATCCTTCCCTTTTGAGTTGAGCAGACCTAGTGCCACAGGAATGAACATTGGCTCCTTCACCGGTTGCCCAGGGGTTGGTGGCACCTCTTGACTGTGAAGTAGTCCATTCACATAAACAAGTTATTATGAGCCAATGACATGAGTTAACAGATATTTGCACCAAAAAAACAGAAATTTCTACCTGAACTTCAAGGAATAAGCCTTTGATTCAGCATCATAAGATGAAGTAACTTTAAAAAGAGGTGTCCCCGCTTGAGAGTACCTGAGACATTTTATTGGTTCATTCCAAAAGCATATGCACTCAAACCATTCATGACAGAGACAGGGGACAGGGATGGACATACCATAATAAGAAATTAGAGAGGTTTGCACCATTTGCATCACACATGGCAGCAAAAAAGTCTTCACAAGTCACAGCTTGGCCATCATGCCTCTTAAAATAAAGGTCCATGCCCTGAAATGTGAGAAGTAATCAGTAGAAGACAGAACAAGCTGTGACATGCTCGAGGCAATGATACAGGATAAAATTTGCATTACCTTTTTTCCAAAAAAAATGATACAGGAAAATTCATAATGGATAAAAGGAGATCTCATATAGTCAATGATACAGTGTTAAACTATATGAAGTACCCACAATAATAGGCTGTAATGCTCTATTATTATCAACTCTAATAACACCCAGAACCACTCTGAAACCAGCCCCTAATGTCAAGCAGATTAGGAACTTGAGAGCTTTTGCACAAGTGCACTTAGGAACATTGCTCAAAAGAAGAATTAAAAGTGTCATAGAGATCCTGACCCAGCTCTAGGGTCAGATTGGGTTATGATATGCAGATAATGGCCTTGTCGACCCAAACAAAAGCTAGCTGAAATGGGCCAGGCAGATTATAGCACTTGATAAAGAATGTACTCCATGTCATATGGTTCTATCTAAACTTCATAAACTACTGTCCATTTAAAAAAGGCCATTACCCAGTGTTGGTCCCGGCTATCTGGGGTCTTCAGAGGGGTTGATTGGATACGTTCCTAACCTTTGACATTTTTTTGTACAAAGTGGCTGCTCTCAGATTCAAACCCACACCCTTACGCTTGATGGCCCAAGATGTTACCATTACACCAAGTAATGGCCCCTACACTACTGCCCATTATAACAGTAAAAATAGTATTCTGCCTAATCACATTGCTACTGGCATTCACAGCTTACACAAGATTTATCTGTCTATATATCTTTTCTCCACATTACATCTAGTTACTTAAACCATTTATTTCTATATATAATAAGAAGAGGAAATTATTAGCTTAATCACAAGGTCCTGTTGCCTGGCCTGGAGAGGACTTCTATTTCAGGTCAAGTGGTCAGGCCAGCTAACTGTTCCTTGTACCCTCTGCTTGTACTGTCCCAGTTGGTTGCTAACTCTAATACATAGACAAATGCAAACATATGACTAGTCCCAAATATATAGAACAAGGACCATGTGAATTGCTGTCTTACTTTTCGAAATCCATGACTCCCCAACAAGGTTTTGTACATCCTGACAACTTCAGCACCCTGTGAAATAGAGGAACAAAAACTCATCACCTAAGGAACGGAAAATTACTTTATAAAATAAAGAGAAAGGAGACAATTCAAACCTTCTCGTACACCTGTAACCAACAAATGACCAGCACAAAGAAAAATAATGTTAGATATTTAAACAAAATGAATGAAAAGAGTGAAGAAACAAAGATGAAAAACTAAAACTAGAAGAGAATAAAAACATGCTAGTGAGACATACCGTCACTGCAATTTAGAGTTGGCCAAGGTCGAAGCAGATTAGAACCATAACCAATCAAAATTGCAAGAGTATCAGCCAATGTTTTAGCATAGTCAAGTCAAAAAAAAAAAAAAAAAGAAAAAGAAAAAACAGTCCAATTATGAGAATTTCTGACTACAACCAACAGCCCAAATTAAGATGGAGTTTTCTCAGGCTCACCGGTGTAGAAATTGTCCATCTGTCAAAATTTAAAAAAAAAAGTATAGGGACAGCCATTACATGCAACAGATGATGGGTAAAAAACTAATAAAATAAAAACTAAGGAACACTTCTGTCCTATGGAAGGGATGTTACAATAACAACCAACCTTGATATATGAATGTGGCCTTACAGGATGAGACATAGGACCAGCATCCTGAGAAATCACCACAATAGCAAGCATTAATGCAGCATTTTATACCATTATTAGGGTAACAAATCCCTACAAAAGGCACATTCAGCTAGCACAAATTATTGCACTGATTTGGAAATTGGACCACATAAAAATATAGGGGTCACATTTCCTATACAAGCCTTTAAAGTGGTTTAAGGAAGGATGGAAAATATGAACAGGCAAAACCAATGCACAATGAAATGTTTCCATCTCAACAAATTTCACAGTTGATTTTGATTGGTCTAAACTCCATGTTTATTCGCAAAAAAATAAATAAATAAATAACGTAATTATGACTGGAAAAACACCAAAATGAATGACAATAAGTGAAAAGCATTGATATTGTTACCCATTGATATTGTCTTGAGTATATTAGTAACAAAACCTGATACAAGACAATTGCTAAGAGGTTGGGAGTGGGGAGGATAGGGTATCAGTTACCCATTTACAATTTGCTGATGATACCCTATTGTTTTGTGAAGGGGACGATGTGATGTGGATTAGGAACCTAAAGCAGACAGTGCAGCTCTTTGCAAGTTTATCCAAATTAAAAGTCCAATTTCGAGGAGAGTTGCATTGCAGGTGTAAACATGGAGGATAGAGAGTTAGAAGTGTGTGCTGAAATCTTGGGTTGCAATGTCTCTCAATGGCCTTTAAGCTACATAGGTTTACCCTTAGGAGCCAACCCGAAGGACTCAAGCTTTTGGAATCCAGTTGTAGAAAAGGTAACAAAGAAACTGGCGTGTTGGAAAAAGGGCTACATTTCCCTAGGAGGTAGGATAACCCTAATAAAGTCGACCCTAGCAAACCTCCCTGTGTACTATATGTCAGTCTTCAAAATGCCAGTGGGAGTGAGCAGGAGCATTGAGAAATTAATAAGGGACTTCTTATGGGAGCCAAGAGAAGAGAAGAGATCACAAGGTGTGCCGGGAGATAGTCAGTAGAGATAAAAAGTATGGGGGTCTTGGAATAGGAAATACCCAAAAAAGAAATTATCTCTACTAGGGAAGTGGCTATGGAGAATGCCAAAAGAAAGAGAGAAACTATGGGCAAGGGTGGTGGTGAGCATACACGGGCTATTGGACAATGGATGGGACGCTGGATCACTGCAACGGGCTACCAGAGCTTCACCTTGGAAGGCCATACAAGCAATTCTACCTTGTTTCTTGCCTCTTGTAAGGTATGAACTCAATTCTGGCAACTTAATCAAATTCTGGGATCAAATCTGGTATGGGAACTCCCCTTTGAAAGACTTATACCCCTCTTTGTATTCTTTATCATGTTTCAAGTGTGAGCCCATTTCAACTTTCATAGTCCCTTCAAACTCAATCAATGGTTTTGATTGGAACTTTGGCTTTAGAAGGGGATTAAGGGATTCAGAAATTGATAGTGTACTCTCTTTAATCCAAAACCTTGAAGGAATTTTCCTTGATCCTGATAAGCCTGATAAAAGAATTTGGAAACCTTCCTCTTTGGGTCTGTTTTCCTGTAACTCCTTCAAAGTGTTAACCCAACCTCCCCTTAGTCCCCCTCAATCTTTTCCTGTTAAGGAGGTATGGTGCAAGCCTATCCCACCTAGGATTGCGGCTTTTTGTTGGGAAGTTGTACACAAAAGAATAAATACTTTTGATTGGCTACAAAGGAAGAGGAAAAAGTGGTGCCTTTCCCCAAACTGGTGTGTTCTATGTAAGGCTAATAATGAGACTTGCTTTCATTTGTTTATTACTTGTCCGTTTGTTGCTGGTATTTGGGAATGGCTTTTTTCTTTATTTGAATGCAGGTGGGACACCTCCGGCTGACATTAAAAGTCTCTTTGATCCAACTTCCTGTCCATGACCAAAGAAGATAGGTAACATCATGTGGAAGAGTGCTAGGGCGGCAATAATCTGGGTAGTGTGGGAAGAAAGAAATGCAAGAATTTTTAGAGAAAAGTAGAGAACAAAAGAGGCCTTGATTAAATCAATACTGATTAGAGTGGCTCAATGGCTGAAATCCTTAAGAAACTTCTCACATATATCCATTGATGATATCATTAGAAACTGGAAGATAGTGGCAGACTCAAATGTCAATAAGCAGCCTATTATTCCTATCTGGACCCCTCCAGAAAGAGGATTTATAAAGCTTAACTTTGACGGCAGTAGCATGGGAAACCCAGGAAGGTCAGGAATTGGAGGTGTATTCAGGGATGAGGAGGGTAAAGTGTGTGCATTATTCTCGGGCCCAGCAGGTGAAGGAGACTCACTAAAAGTGGAAGTAATGGCCGTTATGGAAGGGGTGCGGCTAGAACCATGAATGCTAGAAAGCTAATCATTGAAGGGGATTCCAAACTAGTGGTGACTTGGCTACTGGATGAGGAAAGTAGGATGTGGAAATACAATAATGAGAAGAAAAAGTTTAGATGGATCACAAAGGACATGGAACTGAGAATACAGTGCGTGAAAAGAACAGATAATTCAATGGCTTGTGCGCTAGCCAAGCAAGGGGTTTGGAGAATTCAAACATTTTGGGCACAAATGTAATTGTAATTATACCTAAAGTTAAAGGGGAGAGATAAGAGAGCTTGTCTCTCTCTCCCTTTCTCTTGTACACTTTCCTTTAAATTCAATGAAGTAATCAGTTATTCATAAAAAAAAAAGCATTGATATTGTTGAGAAACTTAGAAGAGAACAAAAACCATAAGGAAAAAAAACAGGATTTAGCATGGTTCAGCATCAGTGCCTGCATCCATGGGGAGATAGATCAATGCTTTACCATATGAGAGTGAAATACAACAAGATATGAAGATGACACCCTTGTCCTTACACCCATTCTACCTCATGGTCTACATCTCTCAATGCACACTTATTCACTCTCCACTAGAATTGTATTGGTTTAAATAAGGCCCATATCAGATGGCTTCTCGGGGAAGCCACTTACAAATAACATATATAAAATCCATAATTCCAATAATGCCCTTGTACAATTATAGAAATGCCCAAACATACTCCAATGCACTTCTGTTGTATTCTCCAGAATATGTACATATTCTAACAACAACAAAGATAATGGGAATCAGTACCTGAGGGAACTGGTAAGTGCGAAGCTTTGAAACATCTGCTATACGCTTAACTGTACGACTACCCATGTCAGATGAAAATTCCTGGCAAATACAACAGATTTCAGAAGCATCTCTTGAAAGGAAATCACGTGCATATGATAATGTTTCACGGAAAGGCTAAAGGGTATCATCAACAAGAACATAGAGAAAATGCATCATACTGTCATACCTGATCTCGAAAGACTGTCAGACCTTCCTTTAGGCTGAGCTGGAACCAGTCACGACATGTAACTCTGCAAAAAATGTTATGAATTTTAGGCAAACAAAATTGAACTCAAGCTTGCACATATGGCCAGATATCAGACTATCAGTACATCAAGAGGTATTTTAAGTTGAAAAGATATTGTTAAATAGTTTTCAATCCCAAGCCTAGTAACCAAAATGAACATAACCAGTCTGGCAAGAATGCATTTAAGGAATTTCTCAATTCAAAAAACCTATTAAATAAGAACAGCCCAAACCACTTGGGGGTAGAGAATTTGATAATTGAAGGGGGCTCCAAGGTGGTGGTGGGCTGGTTGAAAAACCCCAAGGATGTTATATGGTGCTACAAGAATGAAATGAAGAAATTTAATTGGTTGACAAGGAACATGTTGATTTTTACACAGTGGATGGGGAGATCAGCAAATGGTAAATAGGGAAGAACTGTTATGGGCTCAGCTGTTATTTCTGTAATTTATTCCTAGATTACTTATAAGCTTCTAGGAGGGGCTGCAGCTCACACCTCTCCGTGGGATGTTGTATGAAGTCACAACTCTAAATCAGTTTCTGGATTAATAAAATTATACTATTACTCATCAAAAAAAAGAACAGCCCAAAAATCTGGCAATTTGTGACTTAAAAAACTGCAATTTACCACTGTAGAATGGCATCATCAGGACCAAGCAATTAAGGTAAATAAGGAACCAATCAATGTAGTAAAATAATATCTAAGAAAATAGCAAACATGAATAACTTCTAAGAAAAAATTAAGAAACATGAACTGACCTGTTACCAGTCCAATTATGAAAGTACTGCAACAGTATAAAAGGTTAAGAAACTTGAATCAGTGTGAATTTAATACATATAGGACCAAATTCCAAAACAATAAACATTGAAGTGATAAAAAACCTCATGACCAATAACTCCCAAAATTGCAGCATAATCTGCATCTGTAGCAGTTTCAGGAGAAGCCAAGACAAGCTTTGAGTTGAATATCTGTTCAGAAGCATTTCAAATCATTTTCAGTTTGAGTGGGAACAGAACAGGTAATGTGTTAGTTGTTCTAGGGTCTTCAAAGAATTAACCATACATTTAGACTCTTATTTTCCATGGCTCCCCTGCAAATGAAGCAAGAAAAAGGAATATTATCAGCTACTAACATGAAACTGACAATGCCTAAAAAAGTGTTATTTTGTCCCAGAAAATAAATGAACAGTTCCATCCTAACACTTACATGTTGAAATCAGGAACAGCGACAATGTTGAAGAGATCAAGGTCATACTCAAGACCAAAAACCTGTTACAAGTGAGGCATAGAGAGAACAAGAGAGAGAAACATCAAAGCATTGTTTTAGAATCTTATCCAACTAATTCCCTTGGAAATTGAACAAAATAACTGTCTAGAAGATGAAAACTGACATCCTCATCCCATTTCATAGCAGCCTTAAGGGAATACATAGCATGGACAGTCTTTGGCAGGTCTTGCACTGGAGTCCAAATCCTCAAAGACACCTTTCGGCCTGAACGAGTAATAAATGTGTCATCTCTGCTCTCCAATTGACCAGCAACCAAGGCAAACAAGTAGCATGGCTTCTTGAAGGGATCCTCCCAAATAGCATAATGTCTTCCACCCTGCAATAGAATGAAATGGTAAATGTAAGGTAGCACTAGAACCCATTCCACTACCTCATTGCTGCATAAAATGTATAGTCACCTCAAGGTCTCCTTTCTCTATAAGATTCCCATTAGATAACAACACAGGATACAGGGTCTTATCAGCTTCAATACGACAAGTGTATATCGCCATGATATCGGGGCGATCCTGATAGCACAAACATCAAAGTTTAAAAAAAACAAAAAAAAAGATAAACAGAATAAATAATAAATTCATAAAACCCATTGTTGGTGGCAGGAATTAACCTGATAAAATGTAATTTTTCGGAAGCCCTCTGCTTCACACTGTGTGCAGAAGTTCCCAGAGGACTTGTAAAGTCCCTACAGACAAGAACTGTTACGTGAGGACAAAGAATAAGGATTCATCAGTGCAGGAACCCACAGATTTTAAGAAGGCATTCACCTCTAATGATGTGTTGTTCTGGGGATATATCTCAGTAACAATTTCCAGTGTGAATTTGTTACTCCTTGGTGGTGACAGAACTGTTAGATGGCGTGAGTCCAAGTGGAAATCTTCTCCCTACAAGACAGTAATAATAATAACAATAATATTTATAATAACTACAACAAGAAGAACATTATAATAATAACAATGATGATAAAAAACATATCACGAGTTGGGAACGCATTATACACATACAAATTATGATATATGGACAGGCACCTTTCCTCCCACCTCCCCACCATTTGCCCTGGCTTATGTCTCACCTCCTCCTTGGAGTAGATGGGTTTGAGTTGGTGCTAGTTCAGCAGGATCAGAGGTATAAGTTGCCCCAACCTGCTGTCATTCTTATACCCACCTATGGGAGCAAAATTATATTCAGTGGACAATAGGTGCACCTCTTAGCAATCCTAGAGCCAGTAGGGATAGCTAAAATTTCTCATTTGGTGGAATTAGCACCCCCAGTGGGATCACTACAGACTTACAATGTGCAAACCTGGATTTGCCGCCATCGCATAATGTGCCCCCATCCATATTAAGGAAGATCCCTCCAGTACCAACTGGCACAGGATTCTTTTCTTTCTTTTTATTGATAACAATTAAGTGGCACTGATCCTGATAGAAAAATGAATATGTTCAATAAGTGCCAAGCACCCCAAGCATAACTAGCATTGCAACCTATCCCATTCCTCTATCTTGGTACAGATGTTCAAGTTACAAGGTTCCTAAAAATATGTAAGCTCTATTAACCCTTGCCTAACCATGACATTAGCCACTAAATTTGCTGATGTTTTTGAACCCATGAATAGATGATTATTAGTTCCCTTTCCAGCTGACTTATTTCTCTCGTAACATTCCTATAATCTCTAGTTTCAGAGACCTCCTCACAGTGTCAAGGGTCTGGAGGTGGGAGCCCCTTCTTCAGAAGGGACCTAAATGACTGGGAAATAGAGCAATGGCTGGACTTGATGCATCTTCTGAGTACTATCAGGCTTGACAGATCAAGATCTGACAAAAGAGTTTGGGCATGGGAGAACTCAGTCTCATTCTCAGTAAAATCTTTCTACAACAAACTTTGCTCTGAAGAGGGGGTTAGCTTTCCTTGAAACAAGGCTTGGAAAACTGCACCACCTCCCTAAGTTGCCTTTTTGACTGCTGAAAACCTGTCAAAAAGAAGAAGACTGATGGAACCTAGAAAATGTTTAATGTGTGGCGAAAGCTCTGAAGACATGGAACATTTATTTCTACACTGTAAGTTTGCAAGGGAGTTTTGGCTGAAGGCTTTGAGATGCTTTGAGGTGTCTTTGTGCTTCCCAAAAGGTCTATAGGAATTACTTTGGAGCTGGAACCGAGCTGGTTTATCTAAAAAAGGAAAAAATCATCTGTGGAGTAATTCCATCAGCAGTTCTGTGGACAGTTTGGACAGAGAGGAACAAGAGGCTTTTTGAAGACAAGTACAATCCGGAAGACACAGTTCTAAAAGTTCTTTGGAGAAGACTTTATTCATGGGTGCCTTTTCACAAGTTTTTCAAGAACACTCCATACAATACTTTTTTTGGCAATTGCAAATATATTTGTGTCTAGCTGAATAGAAGCCCTTGGGATGTATAAAGTTTTGCTTTGTTTTCCTGCTCAGTGCTTTACTGTGCAGGTCTTATGTAATCCTTTTCTTCTTTACTGAAATACTTTACCTTTTCTCAAAAGAAAAAAAGAGCTTTCACTGATGTTTCACAACCACACCACAATCACTTTCAAGTCCACTTCCACCACTAACTCCCAGATGTTGAATGCTCCACTCAATCTCAAACCCAAAGCACTACGATCATTTCAGCTTATGTAGAACCTCTATTGATTATCAACACTGAGTAAATGGCTAGCATTGACCTGTTTCTGTTTCTAAGAACACTGCCCACACCCAATGCTGCAAAATTCCTAATGCTACATCCATCAAAGTCTAATTTGATTTGGGTATGTAGAAAAGGGCTCGAACAAATAAGATAAACAGATTTTGTTGTGGAGGAGGATGCCATGTGCTGCCAACCTCCAATGATATCTTCTGTATAGAAAGTGCCAAATAGATCTAGAGATTTAATCCAGTGCCCCACTTTTACTGAAATAGTTTCTGTGGACAGTTTGGTCATCTGCTGGGGGAGCCTTCTTACTCCCGGAAATGAACCCCCACTTTCCTCTACTACATACATAAATCTTTACTGATTGTGACCATGCTAGATAATTAGTTCCATCTAGTTTAACTGTGGTCACAGTCAATAAGGAATCACTTGGAGTCCCCTGAACCAGTCCATATTCAGCACCACTTTTGTTTTCAAACTCTGAGGAGTACATCATGTAAACACTTCAAATATGATTTCAGATGACTTCTACAAGTATACTGAATGAGGACGAGCAAGAACTGAGTTCAGCCGACCACAAGAAGGCAATACACTGAGTTCAGCCTTCAAGAAGTAATCAGAAACTTCTAGGCACTGAGCACTCAGCCGAAGTACCTTTTCAAATCTGGACTTCAAGATAACCACCAAAGAAATAACCAAGATGAGTAAATACCAATTGGTATTGCTGAAAAGGCCTTTTTACAAACACAGTGTGGGCAATAGAGACAACCCCACTGTCAAAAAAGAAAAAATGCCTTAAGAACAGTTCGTGCAGCCCCCCAAAAATAGCCAAATATAAGTAACAATTCACAGCCTTGTTACAAGGATGTTTCGGCAGTTTTGACAGTCCAAGAAGGAGTGAAAACAGCCCAGAAATTTTTGGGTTAAACCAGATTCAATGGCAGCCGAAGGTAGTAAAGAACAACCAGAAATTTTCGGACACTTCAACAGTCCAAACACATCAGAAAATAACCCAGAAACCTGAGCACAACTTACAGTTTCGAGCTTCAAACCAGAACCAAGCTGTTCCCCTTCCTTTTTTTCTCTGATTCTTCCTGGTCACCAAACCACTTCTCCAAGAGATTCTAGTCTTGGGCACTTCCAATGACCTCCAAGAATCAGGCAACACGAGCCTAAGCTTCCAGCCCTAGAATATTGAAGTTCAGGCCTGCTCTGATACCATGAAGAAAACTGAAGAGAGGAGAGCTTGAAAGTTCGGCAATGAGGGTTTGAGAATGAGAGTTTCGAACCTGCTCTCTCTCAGCACCCTAACACTATTTTATTAAGATAGGTTTGAATAATTACAAGGAGGCCCTTAGTTGGGCAAGAATTTACAAAGAACTTAATATAGATAGGATGGGCCCAGAATAAGGCCCATTACAGAAAAACATAAATAACAAGGAAGAATAAAACAGCCTATGGGCCATTCGGCCCATCTTCTCTACAATTTCCACCTGTTCCTTGACAATGTGAAGAGGGAGCTTCAAAAGGCTTTCCACATCAACTGGCAGGTTCCATTTGTAACCAAATAAAGAGAATTCCCATCAAACTGTAGAATGACATCCCCAACCAAACCATCAATATCAAAACCTAGAATGGACGAACACCTGTAGATAATTGGAGGATCTCAATAAGGTTACAGCCTTTGAATTCCTTGGATGCCAAAACCTATGATTGTATGAGAAAGAGGATATACCCCAATAAAGTCACCAACTTGCCATCAAATACACAATTATTTATTTATCCATACACTCCAATATAAAAACGCACTTGCAATGAAGATGATGGCTTAGATGACAATCATAATGATGACTTTATGGTACAACTATCCTCTCAAACCGAGACCAATTGGTTTCCACAGTCAACATTTCCAATATACCTCTAGGACCACCCAAGTGAGACCAAACATTCCCAAGAAAAGAAATGACAAAAATCCTAACACTTGGAAATGAAGGAGATAAGTAACCAAGTCCCGATCCCTGAAGATACGGACCATATGGTTAAAACCAATGTTTTAAAAACTGACCCAGAAACGGAACCGTTCTGGCCATCGGTTTCCAGGTCGACAATTCAACCACCCGGTTCAAACGAATGACCCGTTCTAGCAAAAAAAATAAAAAATAAAATAAAATAATTAAAATAAAAAATGGCCAAAAACCATTGAATAGGTCGATGATTCAACCGCCCGGGTCAATGGGTTGTTGACCAATTCAACGGTTTTTGGCCGAGACTAGGTTTAGAGTAAAATAGAAACGGTTGCCTGGAGGGTTTCCGGTCTGAACTGTCCAACCATCTGGGTCAATGGCGGTTCGAAAACATTGGTTAAAACATGGAGAAATGGCACATGGTTGACCAATTATTTTTCTTTGAAAGACATTGTACTGTGTATTGTCTTTCCATTCCAACACTAGGAGGAACAAAAGACAAGCATAACATTTTTTTCTCCCAATAAAAGCATGATTGAAAAACAGGGTCTGTCTCCTACTTCATTTCTTTACATAAAATCTCTCCACTTTTAACATAAGGAGGTGAGAAATGATACACCAAAGAAAGCGGTTCAAAAGAAAAGAGAGTCATCTGCCAATAATCAAAACCATTTTAAAATTGAAAGAGAATGAATAGGAATTCTTTTACAACAAAAGAAACTATGACAAAAAAAACACAAAGGAATAATGAAGCAAAAATAGCATCCACCACTTAATAATTCTGCATCAAAAGAATCCTCAATAGGGCAAGCAACAACAACCAAAGTAAAAGCTACTCTCAAAATACCATCAACTCACATTACCCCCCTCCCCCCAAGAATAACTTTTAATAGACCTGCCTCAAAAACATATTTCACCAAATTGCCTTTTTTATCTTCAAAACTCATCTAATTTGTTTTGTAATCTCTGTTTTGAAGTTGGTTTGTCAACTAGACAACCAGCACTTTGAGATGTACTGTGTTTTTCAGTTTAACGAAATTTCCTTTTATCCTTCAAAAAAAAAAACTCATCTAAGTCAATCAGCACAAATCCACCCTAAACTATACTCAACCAGTTCTTACCTTGAAGAACAAACCCACATTCCACCAAGATTAGAAAACTATGCCTACTTTTGTGCTTAATATATCTAGATTACAACACCCATAAACACCATTTATGGGAAATTATGATTCAATATTAGCACTTTTTTATGAATATTCAATAT